ATAGATCATCTCGCGGCTCACTCTTAAGTACTATAGAAGCAAAATTAAAATGTTCATAACTTTTGAAGCAAGCGCTAGAAACCCAAATCTTTTGAGGATTTTCACTAAAACATTGAACATTATCTATAGGTAAAAATCATTGAAATCGGAGGGAGACACCTGAAAAGGTTCCCTCGTAAGTTTAATGTTAGTTAAAGTTCAATTCTACGTAGAACAAAAATACATATTTATTAAGATTGCATGGAAAATAATGCAAGTATTTACACTTAGTATCACATATTTCAAATAAAGTGATCTTAGTTAATTATAATTATATGTTGAGACTCGCTCTCTAACTTTTCATAATTATTACATGATATTTTCATGTATTTAACATTGAATTATCAATCAAACCATTCAATAATTAAATAACAATGATCGTCACGTATAAAAGCATTCCAGGTCGAAAAAAACACGCTTGTAAACAATCGTAATTCGTTGCATACTGAATCATATAATAGAACAACATAAGGTCGCATGCAGCGAAATACGAAGTCTATATGGTTGTCCTGTTCTTCATCCCTGGACAATGCTCATCGGATAATTTTAATCTTTATACGTAGATGCCCTTGTTTGTTATTCTACATGATCGCTTGTACCATGATTATTATATGATAAGTATGTTACAACCAACGAGACACAGATGAATTGCCGTCATCAGACCCTATCCTTTCGGTGTGGGAGATTAGTTTACTCATAAAAATCATTGAATATTACTGATTAACAAAAAAATAGCTATCTAACTGTAATCTGTCCTATTCGAGTATCTATGTTTTAAACGTCACAGTGAGATTATTCGTAGATCCTCAAACATGCCATACTCGTTTATTGGTAGATGGGATATTCTGTTATACCATGTCCACATGCTAAGCATGCCAGATAATATACACAAGATACAAAAGCGACTGCTTATTGATTGTCCATGTAAAATATACAAATATTGGTTGGTGGAATCATCTCTTCGCCTTGGAATATATCAGTATCAATACAGTCGGAAGTACTGTCGGATGTTGATTGATAACTGTTTTGATTAATCTGATCCATGAAATAGAATTATTATTCGTAGATAATATCCAAATTCACCTAGTAAAAGAAAATTTTGATATATCGATATTAAAAATAAAATGAATAGTTATTTTAAACAAAGTATTTAATATATATTAAATAAGAACCAAAAAGAAACGTTTGTCTGCATGTGCACGTAAAAATGACTTATCATTTTCTCCTACTCACTTGGAAAATTTGCTTGGATTTTTCCAAGTTTACTTGGAAAAGAAGGATTTCCCATAAAAAAAGAAACACGAACAAGCATTCTTTGTTTTTTTGCAAGATGATTTACATTCTCAATTTGTGAGAAGCGGTAATGTATTATTCTCTTCTTTTCTTGATGTTTTAAAATAAGTCATCAATACTTGTAATCAGTTTTATGTAGCATGCAGTCATTATAGGTCAAGATGGACAAGAGTCTAATTTCGTTTCAATGTATTTATATTATTTGCTGCGGTTACTAAAAAAGAAAACTCGATCTTGATATTTAGTTATAGTTAGTACAAACCTGTAGAAAAAGGTTTTTATTAGTTGATGATAATCTTTCTTTTCGTTGAAATTACATGTGACTCATGTGTCTTGCGTCATGAATAACGAAGATTAGTTGGTGAAAAAAAAAGCAATGAAAGACTGCGCAAAAAGCTTGCAATATCTTCATGTACTCTTCAAAAATAAATTGTTGTAACACGACACTTAATTACAAATAGCTGTCATTTTACAAAACTACTTTGATAGGTTTTAAAAAACTCGAATTGACTATCACCTTGCGACATGTTTGGACGAGCTCATAAAAATATTGCACATTAGTTGTGCAATTCTCTTCAACATTTTTTACCAACTAAATTCTTTTATGCACTTATGAGAAATATGAGTCACATATAATTTAATATAGAAGAAAAATTTCTATGAGACAATGAAAGAAGATGCCATTATAAATGTGCCTTCATAATAGAATAATACGGGTTGGTAATTTGGGGAATTAATTCTGCATAGTGTGTCATTCTCATTCTTGAATATTTATTGTCATACTTTCCACGATATGAAAATATAATCATAGAAAAATTGGGTTTGCTAAAGCAGAGCTATTGGTTTACTTCAACAATCAACAAAGTACGAAAAATAAATAAGCTAAAATCCTCATGCATTAGTAGATTTGAATATATACAATTGAGAAAGAAAGCATTTGGTCTATGATGATATTTATAATCAAGACGAGAGGTTGTAAAGTGATAACATTGGTCACCGTTCGAAATTGAATTTTTTCTTTTTTCCAATAGTTACTTTAGATATTAAAAATTGATTATCGTTTTATTTCTTACAGTCAGATATCATTTCAGTTACGCACGACTAACTGAAAACTCGATATTATCGATCCTCTACAGGATCATGATAGGCACTGTTGATATGGAAAGTTTTTATGCCGTCTCCAGCTCGTTTAGTTTGAATCAAAAATCATATAAGAGTTCTTTCTTTCTCTTTTCGAAAGAGATCTAGGAAGTATGACAACATATTGTTATTGTCCTTTTTTGTTTTAGACGATATTGTTCACTTACGTACATAATATGCGGATATTCATAATGAAAATCTTTTCCTATTGAGCTTGAAAAGGCGACAATCCATTATGAATTTATTAATCATTCAATAGATCTTTTAAAACTTTACAAAATTGATAGTCTGACACTGAGCTTAATTCATGCATAAGTCATTTTAGTGAACAACCTGAATTCCTCTCAGGATTACGTGAAAAACTAAAACTAATCAACACATCGTTTCTATAATACATTCATCTACCATCTTGGATTTCCCTAGCCTTTTAAAAATTTAGAAGAGATTTTTCAGTCAAACTGACGCTTGAGTGACTTTGATTTTTCTCGTTATCCTAACGGCGACGAAATCTGGAGTTTCACACAAAAGTAAAAGTTGTCGGAACACCTTGTAAAATAAATACATCGACTTAGATTGTTTATGTTGATTTCGACTATATCATTTGTCTTGTTAGAAAGTTCAATTATTCTAGTCATAATCAATTAAATTTCAGTCGAAAGAATAACTTTTGGCTTTCAAGAACATTGTGTCTTTCACTGAAGAAACTTATCCACAAGTTAAACTCAGTGCCATGCTACCAATTTGTGGAGTTTTGAAAGGTATATTGAATGACATATAATTCATAGTAGATCGTTGCTTTTTCAAGCTCAATAGGGAAAGATTTTCAACATGGATATCCTAATATTGTGCATATTAGTGAGCAATATCATCTAAAACAAAAAAGGAAAATAACAATATTTTGTCATACTCCCTGTATCTCTTGCGAAAGAAGAAAGAAAGAACTTTTATCTAATGTTTAATTCAAACTAAACGAGCTGAGGATACTCAGAATGAAGTTTAACGGTCTAGTACGAACGACAGCAGACTTCTTCTCCTTTCCAAGAAAAAAGACATTCATTTATATATAATAACTCAATTAGATTTTATTCGATAGCTAAAGCAAAATATTCATCTTAGTCAAATTTCGTTGTGTTATCCAACGTCATCCATGAATAAATGAGGTGTTCGTGATTTGAACTTCAAATTGATTTTATTTTTCGTTATTTTAATGTATAGTTTAATAGAGTACCAGTTTTTTTGACGTTTATGGATATTTCTTTCAGGTCGAAAAAAAAATCATAAATTCGTCCCTGTTGTTTTTCGAGAAAAATGCATCGTTTTCAAATTATGCAATCTTTTACCTCGTTCGAATTTGAAAGCTTCCAAAAATAGTTTTTTTCTGATTCAGCATAAAAAGATGAATATAAAAAAAAATATTAAATTGATTCTAGTCCAAAAAAGTAATTATATTAATGTTACAAACCATTTATTGTTACTCAGGATTGTTGATGACTCTTTCTTATAAATCTATCGAGTTTTTTCAGGTATATGATAAAGTCAAATATATTATTTTTGTTCGATTCATTATGCTACACAAGTCACAAATGTATGCATAATTTTTCTTCTCTTTTTTTTCTTCATTGTAAACCAAATAGTTGGAGCTTTGCCAGCCATTCTCATTTTCCCTCATATAAACTAAAGTTTTATGTAATATAAATATCATATTCGAAATCAGCATCAAAAGCTAAGTTGATACTTGCACAACTTTATCGTTTTCAGTGATTTTTCAGAATTTTCACCTAAAGCTGCAAAATTATGACAAATTTTGAAATATATGTTAGTGAACTCGGTGTGTGACGTTGATTTCGATAATAATGTTCATATTATGTAAAACTTATGTTCTCATGAGACACAATGAGAACTATGGGTAGAACTCCAACTATTTGGTAATGAATTCAGAAAACATGATTTCTTCAACAAAGAAAAAGAAAGAGAAGAAAAATGATGCGTACATTTGTAACTGGTAGTAGGATGAATCGAACAGGATAAAATAGTTGACTTCATCATATACCTGTAAAAACTAGATAGATTTACAGGAGAGTCAGAGAAAAACCATTTTTGGAAACTTTTAATTAGAGCGAAGTAAAATGCAAATTGATAGATGCTTCATTGAAATACGTCGATTAGAAGGAAGAAGGTTCACAAGCTCTTGCTAATATTCGTAATCGAGTTCAATCACGGACTCAATCAATAAACAGATCAGGCGTTCACAGTGTATGCTCTATGTCTACCATCGAATTTCAATATACAGGTAATAGAGATACAACTCGTTGTACGACTGCGCACTTGAAGTACTCAATTATATATTAGATATGATGCCATTTACTATTCATTCGACATGCTAATCTAATTGTCCGTTCCTCTGTTCTAGAAAACGACCCAAATTATTACATACACCTGCGTTTTCGTCTTCATCAACAAATGCTATTCTAAACACATCGATACCACATACACTAGAAAGTCTTTCTAACCGTCAAAAAACTGAAACAATGAATTCAGAATCTGTGCCAAATACTGTACCCGAAACTGATTCCCTTCAACAAGTGCGAGAACGTACCTTTTCTCATTGGCCACATCGTACTGTTCCATCAAGTGCACAAATGATTGAAGCTGGATTTTTCAATTGCAATATTGGCGACCGAGTGATATGCATTCATTGCAACCTTATATGCCAACAATGGACACCAGATACTGATGATCCATGTGAAGTACATAAAACACTTTCACCTAATTGTATATATGTCAAAGAAAAATTGATGCGTTCTCAAGCTTCATCTATAGCTATCGTCAATGAAAGTTCAAAGAAAGCAACTTCAGACAATCATTCACCAACATCAAATAAGCTTAGTTCATTACGGCCTAATAGTGTTGTCTTTGCAGGTTCATGTAATCCTTCTTATTCAGATACATCAATACGTCATGCAACATTCGGTACATGTCAAAATGAAAATTTACCACCAGTAGATGATCTGGTTCGAGCAGGATTTTTCTATACAGGTACTAAAACCACTGTGACTTGTTTTTATTGTAATGGATCATTACAAAATTGTGGTCTAAATGATAATCCATTGATCGAACATGCACGTCTGTTTCCACATTGTGCATATGCTCGACAATTATGTGGTGAGGATTTATATCGTAGAATTCAAGAATCTCAACAAGCGCAACAAGGTATATTTGAGAAGTCATAAATTTATAAGACAAATATTTAATATTTTCTTTTTTTAGAAGGTGCTCAACTCAATGAATTAAAAGAAAGAATATGTTTTAGTAATATGTTAAATACTAATCGAAGTACAAATAGTGAAGAACTTTTGATACCTGATGACCGCACTTTATCCAGACTTGTTTCTGCTCGATTAGATTTAGAGATGTCACGACGTTTATTAGATCAAAATTTCAAAAAATCTATTATTCAACAATGTTGGGAAAGACAATTACTAATAAAGCGTATGTTAACAAAAAAAAACATTTTCTTTTGTATTTTTTCAACATTTTTCGTAGGAAAAGATTTTGTATCGTGGTATGATTTATTCATCGCTTGTTTTATCCTTCAAAAACAAATCGAATATATAAGTGTTAAAAAAGAAAACATTGTTATACCAAGTATAAAAATGAAACAAATTAGAGAACAAGTAGGAAAAACTCGTAAGTATTTTGTTAATCATGCATAATATTGGCAGATATCGATATCCTTTTGACCAAAACAAACAAAACATGTAATATTTCCTATTTATCCATTATATTATCATCGTTGGATCGCATAGTTACATTGTAAATATACTTTTCATGGCTTAGTCAATTCTATGTTTTTTTAGTAATAAACGGCTAGAATATGATTGAAAGCGAAATTTGTTGTCGTATTTGTGCTGTTATACTTATTAGTCTCATTTAGATCTTGCATGGTTGTTTAATACTTTTTAGAAATAAGTTGCCGATAAAAGCATTTCTGTCATGGTCATTGTATTGTATACTAAATTGCCGAGTTAGTTAGACCACATCGTTTGCATCTTGGTTCTTTTGCAGTTCTCATTGTAAGCAATAGTTATCTTATAATTCTTACGATATCCCTCATTTCATGGTTTTCTTCTATTCTAAAAGATCCTTATATGGTATTTTTGAACGACATAACTATGTAGTTAGTTATACGATAGGTGAATTCAAACAGAAATGTTTTTTTCGCAACCTATATCGAAAAGGCATGAAATTAATATTGATAGACAATCAGCTACGACAAAACAAATTCGATTTCAATAACGTAGAAATATGTGAAATAAATTTGCAGTTTTCTCAACAAATTCTTGTTGTTTAAGGTTGACAATCATACAATAAGCTAAATGGTAAAATGTGTATTTACAATATAAATATGAGAAAGAACGATGATAGTATAAAGAACAAATAGGAAATATTAGATCTGTTGTTCATTTTGCTCGCAAGTATATGTTGAATTAATTTTTCTTAAATAGAACATGCCGTCGATTTTAAAGAAACAATTGAGCAAACAATTATACGTGAACATTCATTTATTGGTACACCTGATACGTTACCACCTCGATCTAAAATGATTACTGCTGGTTGGTACTTGAGTAGAACAAAAGGAAGAGACTATACAATATGTTTATATTGTGGTGTAGAACGTAATAATTGGAATTATGATGATAATCCGTGGCGTGTTCATCAGGAGTTGTCACCAAGTTGTCCTTTTATTCTTTCATCAAATCCAATGGAACCAAGTTCAGTACCTATCAAACGTTTATGTGAAATTTTCACAAAAGAAGAAATAATTTATTATGTGGCTCAACCCAATTCATCTATGATTTTGAAATCTAATTCGTATTATAGTCTTCCACCAAATCGATACGCATCGTTTTCTAAATTTCCTGATGGAACTCCAAGAAATATTGAAGAATTAGTAAAATCTGGCTTTTACTATTGCGGAATAGGAACTAGGCTTCAATGCTATCATTGCAAAGTTTACGTTAATAATTTTCATGATTATCCATCGAATGTGATCAATGTTGAGCATCTTCGTCGGGCTCCTAATTGTCGTTATGCGAGATTGTCATCCGAAAAACATGCGATGAGATCCGCAAGTAATTCTCATCTATATAATTATGGCTAGATAACTCATTATAATTTATAATTTCTTCTTTATTTTTTTTATTCAGATAGAAGTGATGCTTGTCAATGGTGTTTCGTAAATGCCAAAGAAGTTGCAGCTACTCCTTGTTTGCATTTGGCTTTATGCACTTCATGCAGTCAATTAATAAATACGTGTCCAATGTGCACTGAGAAACCTCAAGATTTTTTTAAACTGTTTGTGTAAACAATACAAAATGCCAAGATATCTTCTTTTGTTATGATCAAATCAGTTGATAATTTATTTTTGATGCCTGATAAAAAGTTGTTGCCCCTTAAATATTCTTTTTTCTGTTTTATTTTAATCGACATAGACATATATTATATATATATATATGATAGACCGGAAAATACTAATCCACTCTGTTATACGTTTCTTTACGAAGCAAAAAAAAGAATAATCATTTATTGATACAAAAATTCGTTTCCATTATTTTTTGTTTTAGAAATATTTTTAATAAAATTTCTTTGAATGTTTTCTAAAATCTTTTGTACTTACGATTGCTCGTAATGATCCATTACAATAACGTAACTTTTTCGATGAAATACACACCATTACTAAAGTTAGAGGTTATACGTCACTATAAAATATTATCTACATTTCATCTAGCAACTTAGATACAATCCTGAACAAAAATTCTGATCGTTAGCATCAACCCTTCGTCCATTGATTCACTTCTACTGGAGTTATGATTCAGACATCACTTTCTTCTTGTGATCACCTTAATAAACCATGTTGATAGAAATATTTTCTTCAAACCTCTCATTCGAAAAGTTATTGTTGTACATATTTCTAGTCTGAATTTTGTTAGAAAGTCCATGAGACGACAAGTTTGCTCTAAACTGTTTAGAGTCACAGAAGTGAATGAAGTCTAGTTCATGCTATAACATGCATTCACTATCGAAAAGCATGATAATTACTAAGATCTTCACTATATGTCATGGGCTGTGGTAATAATAAAGTAAAAATAAGGAAATGCGTTTAGCGCTAGAAAGGAAAACAGTAAGAGCTTGTGGAAGAGCAAAATGACAAAGAACAATTTCCTGAACGCATATTTTCACTGAATATGTTTTTTTTTACAAGAGAAAGAACATGCTTCAATCATAACTCCAATAGATGTGAACCGATGGAGGGCGGCTTGACGCTTGCGATTGGAGTTTACTGACGTACACATGCATCCAAAATATAAGTGTAATATCATAAAGAATAGTAACACTTTATAGGAGTCGGTTACTTTTGTTCAAGATTGTACTTATTTAGGAAAAAATATTTCTTAGACATTAATCTGTATGATTATTTTTTTGATCATAAAATTCAACTATATCAGAAGAATTTTTCATGATAGGATTAACATCGGTCTCTTATAACTGGTACAGAGTTTTTTTTTTTTAGAGATGATATTTCTTTATGTTCCCAAATGATCGATCAATCGATAAAAGCATTGACACGTTCGTCGCTCAACATGGTCCATACCATTTCTTTTTTCCGCTCCATCTTCACTTATCTTTTTTTCTCCATTGTCGTTATTAAATCATTTGATAATAAAATCACTCAGTCATCGAAACTATATAAAAAAAAGTCTCGTACACATTGGCATAACAACAACATGAAAGCTATCTAGTTTTATCTTTTTTTTTTGTTCTTTTTCTTTTCTCGATCTATCACAGCTAGTTTTTTTTTTGTAGCTATTTCATATGTCATTACAACATGATTCAAAAGACAATCTATATTTTTCTTATTATTTCTGTTCAAAGTCAAATTTATATTCCTATCGGTAAATATTAAAATTTTTAATTAATAATCTATAGAAGTATGTTTGTTAAAGGTTGGTTTGTGGATGAAAAAACATCGCAAGATGCAGATATCAATGGTTTTTCAGAAGCTTTAGCAGCAGCTATAAATTTAACTGATACATTTTCTTGGCCAATTAATCAATTTAGTTTTCAATCAGTTCATGAAAATGTTAGCGTAAGTATCCAATGCAAAACTTATATATTGAATAAAAATGAAAATTTCCTTTTTTTTTTCTCTTTTTTTTCAAGGATTCAAACATCTATTCAAGTATTCATCAAAGTAAGAAAATTGATTTGAGAATATTTCAAGAATAATTTTTTTTTATTAGTTTGTAATCGTCTTGAATATGGTGCAATTGGTTCAATATCAAGTATTGATAATCCTAAAACACATTTATTTGAATTATTTATGGCACGTTTACATATTTCAATGATATCTTTAAATTATTTAAATTATAATAAACAACATTCAACTTTATTAAATAAAGTTTATCATTTAACAATGAAAATTGATCTTTTACCAGCTCTAGTAGCATTTATAAAACGTTATAAAATAGCAAAATTATTTTATATTATGGAAGGCGATGAAGCATTTGAACGTTTTCAAACTTTAATAGTTGCACAAGCACGAGAAAAAAGTTATGATATTTTAGATATTCAAGGTCGTCAATTAATTGATGTTACAAATTCGAATTATACAGAAAATTTACTTCAAAGTATTGAAATTAAAGATCGAGGTTCAAAAGAAGAACTTTATATTGCACTTGATTTGGATAATATCAATAGTTATATTAAATTATTAATGCAAGTAAGATTAAAATCATTTATATCCACTGCATAAGATAAATTGTAAAATCATTTTTCCAAACAGTCTATTCAAAATCGAAGATTTCAATTGATAAATATTGCGAACTATGAAAAGAAAATATATTAAATTTACTAAGAACATAGCGAAAGTAGTGGCGGAAATACTTCAATACTATATAGAGTATTGATTGAAGAAACTTTCTTTCTATATGCTGTGATAGTAAACATACTGCGGAATATTTCTCGAATATTTCTTCATTCTTCAACTAATATTAGAGTAATAAAAGGAGAGGGTCGTCAAGCAATAACATCAGACCACTCTGGAAATTGAGTTTATGTCTTTTCAAATAGTCTATTCAGATGTCAGAAGTCAATTAACGTTCGAATTCGACAGTTCGACGTTCGGCTTACTCAAAAACTCCATAGTATCTATTCTTTATCGATTCATGCTATAGAACGTTTCAATGAAAATTTTTCCTCTTGTCTTCAACTGATTTAATTTGAGTTAATATCAAATGAAAGTTCTTTCTGTTCTCTATCGAATGGCATCATATATGAGTAAGACACAATATTGTTTTTTTCCTTTTTTTTTGCTTCAGAAATGACACTGTTCTCTCGCATAAACAATATGAAGATAGCCATAGAGAATTCTGTTCTTATTGAACTGTGAAATTAGCGATCGACTTTGAATTATATATGATTTGGTAGACTCTACAAAAAATGATAGTACTGCGTTGTATGAGGGCAAGGCAATTTAGTCAAACGCACAATGTTCACGAGTGCCAACAGTTGTTCTTTTTCGATTGATACTTGACAGATTTTGCTCAGAATAACTAGTCTTCCTATCAAAACCAATTATTAATTTGAATGCAGCATAAAAAACTGAATCGATCTATATATGTCAAAAATATTCTGTGATAACTTTAGTTTTCATGCAAAATTTCAACCCTAGTTTCTCTCAAGGTTATGCCGAAAAATAAAATCAGTCAAGAAGCCAGTTTGACTTTGAAAAGACATTTCTAAATTTTTAAAAATCCAAAATGATAGATGAATAAATAATAAAAACGATGTTTCAACTGATTTTATTTTTCGATAAAATCATGAGAACGACTAAGGCTGCAGATATTTGGACGAAAATAAAATTTATCGAAAGAATTTTTGATTTATGCATAGATCGACTCAAGTTTTTATGCTATATCCACATATATAATTTGTTTTGATAGGAAGTTTGATTATTCTGAGCAAAACCTATTAAATATTCGTTAGAAAAAGACAACTTTTGGCTCTCACAATTATCATACATTTGACTAAAGTGCCGTACCTATTAATCAAACTGCTCACCATAGTATCATTTCGTAGAGTTTTGAGGACTTTATCGGTTGATATATGATTCATAGTAAACTACTGCTTTCACAGCTCAAAACAAGAGGAGTTTAGCTATGACTGTTTGCATAATCTTTGTACAAGAGAAAACCATGTCATCTCAAGCAGAAAAGGAAAAGAACAATAGTTTGTCAAATTCATATATATACCATTCAATATATAACTCAGATGTATTGAGGACAAGAGGAAAACTTCTCATAGAGATGTTGCATAGCATAAAGCTATCAAGGATATATAATATTGAGTTTTGAGTCAGTCTCATGCAACCAAAATGACATCGAACTGTCTAATTCGAATTGTAATTGACTTCTGACATCTGACTTGATTAACTGGGAAATGATAAATTCAATTTCGAAATGAGATCGATTCCATCGCTTAACGAAGCTTTTCCTTTCACAAGGAAATTTTTTTTTTATGATGTGTATTAATAAAACTAATGTCCGTGTCAAGGAAACAAAGACGCCGGAATAGTTTTTGAATAACTATTATTAGAAACAAAAGATAGACAAAAAATGTTTTTGTTTGTAATCAAAAGACAAAAGTAAAAAAAATGATATTTATCTGCAGTAATTGTTAGAAAGAGATATTTTGAATTCTAAGTTGAATACGTATAAACTCTTGAATGATTAAATCTAAACATCTGAATCTTGTGTAATTTTGTAGATCTTCAATTGACAGTTTGAATGTATATCTAATTATTGAAAATTTACAATAAATATCTCACTAAATAGACTTGTTTTCGAAAAGATCGATTCACAACAAATCTTAAAAAAACTGTTATATTAGAACTATTCTTTTCAATTATGTAAACCAGAACTCTTTCTCTCTCTTATTTCTATTAAAACTTATGCCAAAAAATATCTACCTACTTTTTGTTTTCTTTGAAATGGAGATTTAGTTTTATCGCCAGATACTATAACAAAAACATTTCGTTACGAAATTTTACTGTCATGATATTAGTTGAAGAATGGTGAAAGATTCGAGAAATATTTCATATCATTTTTACTATTAGAGTATACAGAAAATAAGTTTTCTCAATATTTCTATACAGTATCGAAATATTTTCGATGCTAATTTTTTCGTATGCTCTAAATAAATATATTCATCTATAGTTAAATTATTCATTACAAATACTTTTTGTTTTACTTGATGATACTTTGTCTAGATTCGACATCATGCTATGACAACACCTCATTATCATTACATTTTAATGAGTCCTGTAAGTGTAATGAAGTAAACATGAGATATTATTTATATATATATATATATTTAGGAAGCTGATCGAATTGATATGCGTACTTTTCGTTATGGTGGTGTGAATGTCACTTATTTTGTACCAAAATCATCTTACACAATCAATCAATCATTAGATGGATCAACAGCTGATCGATTATCTCTTCCATCAGTAGGAATTTGATTTTGATTAAATCTAAAAATTGAATTCCTTTTTCTTTTTCTTCTGACATAGTTTGAAAAGAAAGCATTAGCCGATGCTTTATCTATATATATGCGAGGAATTATGTTATTAGATGATCGAATTCGTTCTAAAATCGTTTATTCTGATTCCGATGATGATAATTTCGATCATTTAAAAATTCAATGTCGAACAAAAGAAAATCAACGACAATATGAATTATTCGATGAAGAGTTATTCAATATAATGAAATCAGTATAATTAAATAAGAGAAACCAAAAACAACAAAAGAATTTTTTCTTGATTTTTCTTTAGCTTTCATTTGATGGATATTCGGGTTATGTAGCATTTAATGAATATGGTGAACGTATTAATTATACTTTAAATATATATCAAGTAACAATGAATCGATTACCAAGAAATGTAAAAAGAATATTTTAAAGAAAACTAAAAATATACTTTCTTTTTTCTTTAAATAATTTTTAAGATCGGCAATTTTACCCTTGATGAATTTTGTTTACATGATCTTAGCATAGTTGAAGGTCGTCAAGCACATGATTTTGATAAAGGAAGAGAACGAATCATCTCAACAATTCTTGTAAATAATATTTCAATAGTTTATTAAGAAAAAAACAAGAATTTTCTTTGTTTTTAGGATGAACCATTTACAATGTTAAATGCAAGTGTTGTTGGAAATTTAACTGTATCCGATGCACTTGGTCAATATTTTACATTTAATGAATTAAGTGGATATTGTGTTGATTTAGCTCGTTTAATATGTGAAAAAAAACTTGAAATTCCATGTAAATTTCGTATTGTAAAAGATAATTCATTTGGTAATAAACCAGCTAATGATCAACCATGGACTGGTATGATTGGAGAATTAGTTCGACGTGAAGTTGATCTTGCTATTGCACCATTAACAATAACAAGTCAACGAGAAAATGCAGTAGATTTTAGTAAACCGTGGATGAATCTTGGTATTAGTATTTTAATTAGTGCACCAGAAAAATCTAAACCAGGTTAGAAAACATGTATATAATATCTTATGATTTATTTTAATATTGATTTTTATTTTTATTTTAAGGTGTTTTTTCATTTATGGAACCATTATCAAAAGAGATTTGGATGTGTATCACATTTGCATATATTGGTGTTAGTGTTATACTTTTTCTTGTTTCACGTTTTTCACCATATGAATGGAGTATGAAAAATGAAGAAACATTACAATTATCAAATAAATTTTCTATTTTAAATACACTCTTTTTTGCCTTAGCGGCTTTTATGCAACAAGGTGTAGATTTTATACCAAGGTAAATTTATTTTTGATAAGTTTTATCTGTATGTAAAGAAATTTATTTGTATAACATGTTTTTATTTATTTATAAGTCATAGAAAATAAATAAAAAATAATCAACTAGACTGACGAGGAAAGTTCACCAACTGGTTAATCGCTTTTGAATTGAGATAGTATGCATCATGTAGATCCTAATGATTTTTGAATATAATGAAAAGACTTTAGACCTTTACCTTATTGCTGCGAAGTTACTGTAAATTTAAGGTAGTTTTTAAATAAATGCCATAGTCTTGCTCAGGGACATCGGGAAAAACTCATTTACGAATTTTGACTCGAAACGTTGTACAGAGACAGGTGTTTGTGAGTGTATTTTATTGTGAAAATGGTAGATCTTCTGATTTGTTTCTATCCTGAAATAGGAACATCGAATCTACAGTTATATACATATCAGTGAAAAACTCTTCTTGTTAAAAACTCCGTTCTTTACAAGGTTTCAAGTCGAAAATTCGAAAATCCGTCTTCCTGAGGGAGACCACAGCATCCATATAAAAACTACTGTATAATTGCAATATCTCAACAGTAATAAACTAAGAACACGAGCTTTTTCAGGGTATTCATAGTTCATCTGGTTCTACTTAATGTATGTGGTGTCGGCTTAAAAGTGATTTATTAGTTGGTGAATTCTTCTCATGAACATTTCATGTTTTTTCTCGTGTACAAAAAGATTTTCGTATAATTTGAACTGAGATACATTTAATTAAAATATAAAAATCTTACATATATATATATAAATTAATCTGTGAAGATATTATTTTTAGCTATCATCAAAGATTTCGTCTTAGTAGATTAACTTCAAGTCAGGAAAGCAATTTTCAAATATATACTTATAATGGTTATGAAAATCTCATTCTAGCTAACGACTTTTGATCCTTTCCTATTTAGATCAATATCAGGTCGACTGGTTGCTAGTGTATGGTGGTATTTTTCGATGATTCTTGTTGCTTCATATACTGCTAATTGGGGTTAGTAGGAAGAGAGACATAGAATAGATACCTTTTTAACTCTGAAACCATATATCAATATTTTTCGATATTTGTAGCTGCTTTTCTAACGGTTAAACGAATGGTAACACCAATTGAAAGTGTAGAAGATCTTGCAAGACAAACAGATATAAAATATGGTGTTGTCCGTGGTGGTTCAACACAATCATTTTTTGAAGTACTTCTTACTGTATATGTTGATTTAAAAGTATTCTTTTTTTTGTTAGAAATCGGATGTTAAACTTTTCCAACGTATGTGGACATATATGCAACAAAGTGATGATGTTTTATTTGCTAGTAATGAAGAAGGTATTAGTAAAGTTCGGTAAGTTTCTTTTTTCTCTCAATATCTTCATTTCTTATCAGTTATGTTTAGAAAATTCCCAGGAAAATATGCATTTTTACTTGAAGTAAGTTCAAATAAATCGAAATTAAACATCAATGTAATGTTTGTTTATTTTAAAAAGTCAACTAAAAATGAATATACAAATGAACGTTTACCTTGTAATACAATGAAAATAGGTTCAAATTTAGATTCCAAAGGTTATGGAATAGCAACACCAGTTGGTTCAGAATTACGGTGAGCAAAAAAAGAAAGAAAGAAAGAAGGATGAAGTTTTTATTTAATATCAACATAAGTTTTGTTCTTCTAGAGAAGCGATTAATATAGCCATACTTGAAATGAGTGAAGATAACATATTAAATAATTTAAAGAAAAAATGGTGGTATGACCGATCAGAATGTCATAGTGCTACAACAAAGGTTTATTTAAAATTCAATTAAAAATTTTCTTTTTTTATATTGAAAATGAAAGTAGGAATCAAAACAAAATAATGCACTTAATCTGGCAAATGTTGCTGGGATATTTTATATCCTAATTGGTGGTTTAGCTTTGGCTATTTTAATTGCAGTATTAGAATTTTTTGTCAAAGCAAATAATGAAGCCAAACAAACAAAAGTGAAATAATTTTTCTTTTATGGAAATTTTTGAAAAAAATATTAAATTTACTTTTTGTTTAGAATAATTTTGTTGATGTTATGAGACGAAACATGAGATTAAGGTCAATAGATAATCTTTTTATTTAATTTTGTTTTCATAATTTTACCTTGTTTTTTTCCTTTTAGTATTGCTGGTATCAATTTGAATGAAGCAGCTGCAATAAAAATCTCCTTACAGTTTCCTAGAAGAGATAATTATCAAGTAAAATGATCGAATAAATTATAAATAGATCTTCGACATATTATTACTTTTTGTTTAGAGTTCTGATCCATTATTTGACGGAAATGGTTATATAACTGACATTAATCATAGTCAAGTGTAAATGTTTAGCTTTTTTTGCTGTATGCAGGTGTATTTATGAATAAAATAAATAATTGAAGATCATGGAATATAATTTATTTTTTTTGTCATACAAAAATAGACAGCTATAAAGCTCTCGTTACATTTGAATAGCCTTCGTCTGAAAATTTATTTTTTTTGCTAAATAATTTAGTGTCTCAGTGGTATGTCAGTACCGAATTAGAAAAACTATGAGAAACAGCTAATAGCTTATCGAAAAATGTGTTTCTTTATTGAAAACATATTGTCTAGAATGTGGGTGTCAGTGTTCTTATGGATTAAGAGGAAGCCGACATCCATTTGAAAGTGAACATATCACATGTAAGAGTTATTTCCGTTTCCGTATTTTTTTTATTGAATTAATACTCAAGTGCTACGAACAATGCTGAATAAACAAATAGACTATATTAATCAAATACTACGCGTATGATTAGCAATTAGTTTTAAAGAAGCCTATTTTTCTATTTTTATTGAAATCGTAGGCAATCATCTTCGTCATCTTCACCGTTTATTACATGAATCGACTGTTGACCATGAAGAATATGTCATTAATCTCAGCAAGAAATTTTTAAAAGTGTTGTTGATGTAACTGAAAACAACAGAAAAGTTTTATGAAAGATCAAACATTATAATGAATCTACGTTCATTCCTATAATGGTATATGCATACGAAAAAGAAAAGGAAGATAATGAATTTTATACTTCATCATTACCTATTTAAGATATAAATGCAAACTAATCATATCAATTTTATAAATCATGTGAAAAATCTGAAAATAAACAAATAACAACCATAGAAGAAACCAAAGTTTATTTTAATTGTCTACTTTTTATTTTCGAAAAGTGTGTGCTCAGTTGTCGCAGCGTCGAAAATCAGTTGTAAATAATTTTGCTTTTTTTTTTTGAAAACGAAAAGTGCACAATTTAAACAAACTTCACTATGCAGATTATCAAGGCTATCACGCTGCATCTTGTGATATATTCTGTTTTTTTTTAATAATACTCATTTAGAGATTAAAATATGAAATGCAAAGTGCAGTCATTCACTATTGGTCACTCGGTAGTTTGGAATGAACCGGAATAAATTTGTGGCACGTTTCTTCATTAGGAAAAATGTCAGAATTATTTTCTTTACGTGAATCAAGAGCGGATCCGTCAGAATATCTGTCATGTCGATTACGCAAAATTTTTAGCTTTAAACATTGTCTATTTCATTTGAAAGCCTACCAATGCTGTTATGAAAATCCAACAATCAGTCCATTCCAACTTTGGTATAAAAAATGAAAGAATTTTCAATTCTTCAAAAGTTTGATTCATGTTGTAAAAAGCACTGATTTTTCAATGCTGGTTGTATTTTTCAATTTTCTCCTCCACCATTTGGTAGTTCAAGATGAACAACATTTCAAATGACATCGAATTTTTTTCTCTATAACACGGATGTATTCCATTACTTGTAAAATACCTTTTTGCATGATAAAAGAATAATAACAGAGGAATTAAATATCCAGCTGTGGTCATCAATTTTTTGTATCATAGACGTAACAATAGTGAAAGGAAGAACTGTTAGCTGAATTTTTTTATATGGTGTAACCCTAATCACGGAGCATCTTTTGGTATATTCTTTACATCATGGCAAAGTTTTAAATATTTTTGTCGCATAAAAAATGTAAATGTTCTAGAGAACTGATCCTTGAACAGTCGTTCAATTCTAACGATTTTTTTCAATGTGATGCTACTCATACGAAGTCTAAAGATTTTCACAACATGAGATACTTGTGAATCAATGATCATGGAGAGAAACGGAGTGAATGTAATGTAATGAACAGTGTTGAATTGATTGTTAATTGCATTTTTATTGATTCGAACTCGCCAACACGATTTAAGAATATAGTAGACAAAGAGTGACAAAAAAGTCTTCATAAGACGCAGTCACACAGAAAGTAAGGAAGGAAGAAAAAAAAACCTACAATATAACGTTTCGTCAGTAGCCATTTGTTGACATGTTTTTACATCACATTTTCACGCGCTGTACAGACACGAACGGAGAAAAAACGATGACACCAATAATAATAATCATTTTTTGTTTGTTTTTGTTTCGTTGACTCCATCGCGTTGTTTCGTTGCTAATGAACTTTTTTGTTGATCTATGTTGTCTGTTATAGTTGCATTTTCAGAAGAAACTCAAATGAATCAAGCAATCTACGTTACAATCAATGTTTGTTATTTGCGAAACAAGCTCCTGTGTTTGAATAAAGATATAAAGCAGGCTATGCAATGATGGCGTTTAGTTTATTGCTACTTTTGAATGAATAAAGAAAAAATCGTGTTTTGAATATCTTCACTAATTTTAGGTAAACAAAATTTCTACGATTCTTTTCATTATTTGTCAATTGTATGCAAACATATATAACTCTCTTTCACGTGCATATAAGCAGAAAATAGTTTTCTCAATTAATGTATGCTTCCTAATACATTCCTCATTGATATGCGTTGATAAAAAACATAGTTCTAGTGATACATGTTTGCATATGGTAGGAGTTTTCCTCATTGTCATGATGATGCACTTTACAACTGTGCGAATCTTAAATGTAAACAAACAAAATTTGAATATTATTTCTTTATGAATCGTAGAAACTAATGGAAAATGAGCAGCTAATATATTACAAGAAAGAAGAAATTACTTTTTATGATACAGATATTTCGAATGAATATAAATCAAACATCACTTTAGCACGATTGAGAGTGACGCTATATTCATTATGTATGTCTAGACAAAATTTGAACAATAATTGACATAAAACTTGTGCTTGTTTGCTAAATCACTGTGTAAAGCGCTCATTGAAGTGTTTCATTCATTTTCAAATAGATGATAACTATTTCGATCTTCCATTATTTTTAAACTCCAGTTATGCAAATCATCACTACTCCAATCACCAAAAGGCGCAATACATATATTACTGTGGGTTAAGCACAATGAAAATTGTTGTTTTACTTCAATCATTCGTTAATGATTAGCAGCATATTTGACAAGCAGACATCGTTGTTTGATCATTGCTTCAATTAAAATTATGTTTCTTCTTATATCATTCACCTTATCAACATGATATTCATATGCGTAATGAGAAACCGATGACGCTTGTGTTATGTTTTTCGTTCTTGCCAGAAAGAGAAAAAAAAAGTTTGTTTTGAAAGAAACAGAAAAATATATAATATATGAGACAAGTTATCTAATGCGATGAAACGTGACGGTTGACATTAAATACAAATGAAAATAGAAATAGTAGCAATAAAATAAATGACGTTTGTTGGATTTTTTCCCCTTGTCATTAATTTTTGACTAGTATAGTATCAATTGCAACTAGGTAGCGTGTGTCCTTGAGTAACAGCGAAAAACACTACCCACATTGTTATGGTAGAAAAAGCTAGGAAAAAAACAACGACCATCGAATTTATAAATATAAAAGCTTATATCTGTCGAAACAACAATCAGTTATTCGCAATACACGATTAAAAATCGAACAGCATATATTGCATCGAAAATGAGTGAAAAACGAAGAAAACACATGATTGAGAATTATTCGGTAATCTGGGTTGATGGTACTATTGACAAAGCAGAAACAAATTGGCAAAAGAAGCTTGCACAAGTACAAGGCATCATCAACGACGTCAATATTTTTATACAACCAGATGAATGCATCCAGTTTCTTAAGAGCATTAGTCTGGAGCAGGTTTTTCTTATTGTTTCGGGAACTCTGGGTCAAACTCTCATGCTAGATATTCATAACATGCCACAATTACATAGTATTTACATCTTTTGTCATCATGAAGAACATCATAAAACATGGGTTCAGAATTGGACAAAAATTAAAGGTGTTCACAGATCAATCCATTCCATATGCAAACAGTTGCAAATGACTGTCAAGCAATGCAATCAAAATAATACAACAGTAAGTATTATTGGCGCCAATGAAGGTGTTTCTAGCGAAAATCTCAATCAGCTAGAACCATCTTTCATCTGTACTCAAATATTCAAGGAAATCGTCCTTGATAAGGAATATGACCAGCATGCTATCCAAGACTTCGTCAAGTTTTGCCAAGAAGAATATCGCGGTAATGTGCAAGAAACAAAGGTTATTGAAGAATTCGAACGCAGCTATCGATCATCAAAGGCCATTTGGTGGTATACACGTGAGTGCTTCAAATACAAAATGCTCAATCGAGCATTACGAACACTTGATGACGACATCATTATTAGAATGGGATTTTATCTTCATGATTTACACCGACAAATTGAAATTTTACACAATAAACAAGTCAGTCAACACCACGAGAAGATCTTTGTAGTGTATCGGGGCCAAGGATTATCGATACCAGACTTCGAAAAACTAGCCAAAAACAAAGGTGGACTTATGTCGTTCAATAACATTTTATCCGCCAGTAAAAATCGTGATATCTCGCTTGACTTTGCCCAAAATGCCTTAGAAACAACTGATATGGTAGGTATTTTCTTTCAAATAACCATCAATCCCACTATCTCATCGACTCCTTTTGCCTTCATTCGAGAGGTAAGTTATGACAAGAAAGAAGATGAAATTCTCTTTACCATGCATACCGTTTTCCGAATTGATGACATTCAAACGCTTGATAACAATCGTTCACTTTATCAAGTGGACCTTAAACTTATATCAGATCATGACCCACAACTCCGTCAATTAACTGACTGCATACGACAAGAGTTTTCAGGTAGAACTGTGTGGTATCGAATGGGTAAACTGCTGCTCAAGATAGGTCGATTCGGCAAGGCCGAAAAATTGTATATGACTCTATTAGAACAGGCTTCCAACGAGAGCGACAAAGCACATATCTATGACCAACTTGGATGCTTGAAAGATCGTCAAGGACAATACAAGGAAGCGATTTCATTTTACGAAAAGTCTCGCCATATCGGACGAAAAACCAATCCGGAAGGTCATTCTTCATTGGCTAATACCTACAAAAACATCGGTCTAGTGTATAAACATATGGGTGACTATTCCACGGCACTTAAATTTTACGAAAAAGCACGTAAAATATTTGAAATAACTCTGCCTCCGAATCATCCCAAGTTGGCTATTTCCTATAACAACATCGGTGGAGTGTATGACAGTATGGATGACTTTTTCAAGGCACTTGCATTTTATGAGAAAGCTGTGGACATTATGAAAAAAGCTCTGTCTCCGAATCATCCCAATTTGGCTGATTTCTACAGCAACCTCGCTGCAATGTATAACAACACGGGTGACTACCCAAAAGCACTGCAATTTTACGAAAAAGCATACCAAGTTAAAGAAAAAGCTCTGTCTTCGAATCATTCCAATTTGAAACTTTCCTACAGCAACACCGGTGCTGTGTATCACAGCATGGGTAAATACACGAAAGCACTTGAATTTTACGAAAACGCACATAAAATTAAAGAAAAAGCTTTGCCTTCCAATCATTCCGATTCGGCTCGTTCCTACAAGAACATCGATGATGTGTATAACAACATAGGTGACTACTCGAAAGTACTGGAATTTTACAAAAACACACTTACAGTTAAAGAAAAAGCTCTACCACCGAACCATCCCGATCTGGTTAATTCCTACAACAACATCGGTGAAGTTTACCACGATATGGGTAACTATTCCAAGGCACTTGAATTTTACGAGAAAGGTCTGAAACTTATGGAAAAAACTCTGCCTGCGAATCATCCGGATTTCGCACTTCCATACAACAACATCGGTATCGTGTATAACAAGATAGGCGACTACTTGAAAGCGCTTCAATTTTACGAAAGAGCTCTAGAAATTATGAAAAAAGTCCTGCCTCCAAATCAGTCTCATTTGGCACTTTTCTACAACAACATTGGTAGTGTGTATAATGACATAGGTGACTACTCGAAAGCATTCGAGTTTTACACAAAAGCACATGAAATTAAAGAAAAAGCTCTGCCACCCGATCATCCTCATTTGGCTATTTCCTACCACGAAATCGGTCAAGTGTATAACAACATGGGTAACTACTCGAAAGCACTTGAGTTTCACGAAAACGCACATCGAAGATTTGAAAAAGCTGTATCTCCGAATCATCTCAATTTGGCTATTTCCTTCAACAACATCGGTTTTGTGAATAATCGCATGGGTGAATATGCAAAAGCACTCAAATTATACGAAAAAGCACATAACATTAAAGAGAAAACTCTAGCTCCGAATCATCTCTCAATGGCTACTGCCTTCAACAATATTGGTGCGACGTACCATTACTTGGGTGATTACGCAGCAGCCCTTAAGGCTCTTCAAAGTGTTTTTCAAATTCAACAAAAAACATTTGAAGAAGGTAATCTAGCTTTTGGTCATACATACAGATGGTTGGGAAGAGTGTATCGCAGTATGAAAGATTACTCGAAGGCACTCGAATATTTTGGAAAGCGCCTAACTATAGGTCTAAAAATATTACCTGAAAAACATCCATATCAGGCTATTACATACAGTAGTATTGGTGATGTTTATCGATTAATGGGAGACTATGAGAAGGCGCTTTCATTTCATCGAAAAGCATTAAATATTCAAGAAAGTGTTCAATGTAATCCTCTGGAATGTGCGATGACATATACGAATTTAGGTGAAACTTATCGAAGCATGAAAGATAATTCAACAGCATTGATATATTTTCAAAAGGGATTAGAAATATATGAAAAGAAACTACCAAAAAAACATCCTGATTTAGCTGTAATCTATCATGATTTGGCGAAATTGTATTTGGCTACTCAACAATATAATATGGCAAGGAAAAATCTTCAACAAGCGGTAGAAATTGCACAAGAAAAACTACCGTCAAACCATCCTCATTTGTTGGACTATAGAAATACATTTGAGCAGATTCGAAAGAAATTGTAATCTCTCTTTTTGTTGCTCAATAAACTAGTTTTGTTTGCTACTCACTTCCATTTTTGACTTTTCTCGACTCATCATCAAGTACGCAGGTGGGCGACCAGGAAGACCCTCGTAAACTTGAAATGGTACACGTAGAGTGAACCACACTGAAGTGATATTGCAATAAACCTATGTATGACGTACATATTGATCTTTTTTAGTACCCTACTGCTTTCGTCATAACAGACACGAGAGATCTCCCTTAGCGAGACTACGAAGCTGCCAGCCAAGCTGTGATATGAGATGATAATTCTCCCTCATTTCCTACACAACAATACCGTTCGAATTAAAATTTTAACATAGAATATCAACAATAAAGATTCGTTAAGTGTCGATAAAAAAAGAAAAATATTTTTCGATCCGGAATAGGTTATTTCTATCTTATCAAAAAACTGTCTTCAGAAGACCTGTTGGCTACTTGGATTTCTCAACTTATCTATGTAGGGTTATCCATAAATAGTACGTCGATAAGAAATTTAAATATTAACGTCAGTTGTCGACTGAACGAGAGGAAATTTTTACCAGTAATAGAGAGTTACTTAAAGTTTGTTTTTCGTAAGAAAAATATCAATAAATACTGTGCCTAACTAGTAAGATCAACATCACTAAGGATTTGTCACTTGTTACTAGATGTGCGACAGCTCTCAGTTCAAACAACCGATTCTTTTTTGAGAACTATGTCAACAGAACAGTTCTTTTTCAGGAACTGTATCAAAGAAATAGTGCTCTTTTAAGCACTGGATCTAGAAATTAGTTCGTTTTTTAGATTTGAGCATTTCTATTCTAGCAGTAGGTTTCTGTTAGCTTTATTCAAGTAAATTTATGCCGTTCACAATCTTCGCTCATGATGGAGCAATTATAAATCTAATGAGAAGATTAAAATAAGATTTCTGGGACACCAGTTCACTCAAAAAGAATTGCTATATAGATCAAGTCCTGAACAAATCAGTTCCTCTCATAAGAACTGTTGAGGCAGTTTTCAAGATCGAAATTGATATGAAACTTTCATAGGTCCACTTGTTACGGACTCAAAAGCATGTTACAGGATGATTCCAGGGTATTTTCCTGAACCTTTTCTTCGTCTATTTATAATCTCTTACATACGAATAGTAAGACGTCACTGTAATCAAAATGTATACATTCTTAAGTTTCAGATTCAGAACCAAACATGGCACGACGTCAATAGAGTGTGAACAAGAAAACATGGATTGTCAAAACACATATATCGACTTGAATATTCTATCAATATCCAAAGATTATGATGTAAGAAAAGAAGTAACAATCCTCCGCCTCGAGATGCGATAAGATTATTGATGAACAAATTTGAAAAGACTATTTCTGTACTCAACATTAATCTATTTGGTAGGCCAGTGTTAATCACTTGCCAAACTACAAAAATTGAAGTTTCCTCGATTTTAGAATAGAACTTCGAACGTCGACTCGCTGAATCAGTTTACAACTAAATATTCCGAGATCTTCAGTTCAACGTATCTACAAATCTATGAGCCATAAGCCGTACATTCCTAGATTATTTCATGAACTTAGCCAAGATGATTTTGACTGGCGAGTAGAATACTCCGAGATGTTCTTATTGCTGTTACAGTGCGAACCTGATCCTATTTATCGTGCCATATGGTCGGACAAGGCAATATTTAAACTGGGTAGATATATTAATCGTCCTAATTCTCCCCATTGGGCAACTCAGAATCCAAACGTCACATGGGAGTAAAAAATACAAGCTGAAGGACTTACTGCGTGGACTGGCATCTGGTCTCAAGGTGTAAGCAGACCTTAATTCTTCGAGAACCAGGTGATTGCTCACAGTCATCTTACAATATTGGCAAAAACTTTTCAGCAAGGTAGATTGATCGTCTAGGTGTAATCGACTGGTTTCCTAGATCTCTTGATCTCAAACCAGTCGATTTCTTCTTGTGGAGGTATGTGAAAGATATTGTGTACAAAAGCAAGCCTCGAAATTTGTTCAAGCTCAAGCAATCAAACAATTGAAAAAAGTCTTTGAAATACGTATGACTGATCCTATAACATATTTTTGAGCCCTTAATAAGTAACAATTTCTTATTGATGTTGATTTTACTAGCTAGGAATAGTATTTGTCAATATTTCTCTTGCGAAAAAAAGAAACTTTAAGTAGCCCTCTATTACTGATAAAAATTTCAGCTCGTTTGGTCGACAACTGGAAGGAATATTTAAATGTTTTAGCGCATTCGTAGGGAATGCTGTTTTGATTTTAAAAAATGCGTTTTGTTATGCCAGAAAGAGCGTGTTCTGACGTACTAAGAACGAGGTTTGATAAGAATCCTCCTTGAGTAAAAGAAACACATTTCAGAAGAACGTTGAAAGCATCTGAAAAGCATGTACCAAAAAAAGCGTTTTTCCCAGTGAGAACGTGTTACTTTTTCAAAAATACTTCATCTTGAAGATCTGTTGATTCTCTGAAATGTGTTCCTTCTGTAACAAGTGACTACTCTGATGTACATCGTTCTTAACTTCGATGAGATTTCATTTTCACTTAATTCATTTTAGCTAGTTTTCTTTTGCTTCAATGTAGATTCGATTAAAGGTACTTTTAATTACGTGTCAGTTAAAATACTACTAGACTAAACTTACGTATTTTTGAAGTGTTGAATTTTCTACTTATATTAAACGAAACTTATGTGCATAAAAGTTACAGCTTATAGTTGTAGTAAACGTCGACGTCGAGTTCGAATAAAAATACGATTTGTAAACTAAAAATAACAGTTTACTATAGAATTCGAGGGAAAACAGCTGTTTTTTTTTATTTTTCAGCAATGTTAAATAAAAACATCGATTTAATCAAAAGAAAAATTAAAAAAAGTCACTTATGCAAAAAGTTGTGGTTATAGGTGTTTTGTGACTCGGTTTTATTATTTTATTGTTGACGTCTGTATGCGAAGTTTGAATATTAAAACAAGACTATATGCATGTTTAGAAGATAGACTTATTCTACTAATTACGAAAAGTGATATTTTCGATTTTTCTGAAGTTTTTATTACATTGAATGTTTTATTAAATCGACTTTTTTAGATTTAAACTTAAGAGAAAATTAAAAAAAGAGCTTGACCTTCAATTTTTTAATCAAAAAGTTCAATTTTGGCTCTTTCCCCTTTTATAAAATTTTACAAAATAATTTTTTCAATAATTACAATAGTTCAAATTAAAACTCGAAGTCTAATAGACATATTTCTATTGTATCGTAAAACTTTTAAAAAATTGATGGAAAAGAAGGGATAATAACACGCTTTCAAAAAAACGTGCAATGCACCTGATTGACTAAGAACACATTCTTTCAAAAACTTAAGTCTTCAAACTCCCGATATCAGTGCAGGTCCAGGAAAAGTCACGAACAGAGTTATACTCTACGCGTACACTTCACACCCACACAAAGTCTTTTCATGTTTTAGTAGTTATGAAATTATTTTCAGCATATTGTCAAATTTATCTAAAAGTAGCTAATTTGATTTTTGTATGCATTTCTCATTTTGATATTATCGATAATAAATATTTGAATACTCATAAAATGAAAAAATTGATCGAAAGTTCTACAATTACTATTGTACGAGATAAAAGAGACCTGAGATTAAAGGATGTGGATGACCAAAAATATTTTCTAAAAATATAAAATAAAACACGATGATTCTTTTTAAAGATAATTGTTCTAAGGAATCAGAAGCCGTTATTTGTGTGATAACCGAAAAACATGCTTTCTCAAATGGAAACACCTAATTTCTGAACATATGTCGCATTTTTGTTGCATTTATTGTAATATGTAATAAGAAATGCATTTCATTCGATTGTGAACGCGCTCGCACTAGACCCAAAGAATTTATTCTGAAACTGTACGCATTCGTTCTTGAGATACAAGTTTTAGAACAACAGGTATAAGTTATTCTTAAACAAACTAGAACACCTCTATCTAGAAAGCGTTGCTCTCGATGTGAAACCTGTTCACTTGTAACGCGTTCTTAGTCGTTCATTTGTCTGCATTTTTTCCACGAGTGATGGTGGTCTTGAACAAAAAGATCGAAAAAAAACATAACACCATAGTACTGAGAGAGCTATGCTCTAAGAGATGTGGACAACAATAAATTTAATTTAGAATCAAAATATTCATTTATTTGTAGACATGAGCTGGTGACTATAATTGAAGAACAGCAAGGTCAACTATTTAACATCCAACCTCATCGTGTTCAATAAGACTATCATGTTCTAAAGCAGAAAAAATCGACTCAGTATCTATTAATAGTTGACTAGGAGTTGATCATGAAAAAAAACGTTTCACAATCTAGATTATAAAAAACAAACGTATATTTTACTAAATGGAACTTTTTGATGAGCCCAAATAAGAGCATCAAGTTGATGTGTTGATAGAAATCACCTACCAAAAAGACATTCAAGTTGTCGATTTACGGTTACATAAAATGCCAATACGAAGAACAGATTTACGAATAGTTAGTAATAATAATACTATTTTATTTTCAAGAAAAATCTTTGGTTAAATAATTTACTAATTCGAACTATCATTTATACATGCAAATGTTTGTTTTATTGAATTCGTTTGAATATCAAAAATATTCGATCAGTGGAATCATATTTTCCTATTTTATGAATTTAATTTAAACGAAATCGTTGTTCTTCAGAACTTGACTAAAACATAAGGAGGAAATATAGATAAATAATCTAAGAGAAATAATACTACTAAACTGAAAAAGGTTGAACATGAACAAGTACAGAATTTAAAATGATCCAGAGTAAAAGGATACAAAATCCTTTTCTGTTCTATGAAAATTGAAAAAATCTCCTACGAAAAAGACGAAACACTAAGGTCGTATATCTTCAAAAATATTCTTCTCATGCATTCGTGATCGAAGATTTCTTTTCTACGAAACATCAAAGAAGAGATTGTTGATAAACTTTCATCACTCCCATTAGCTACTCTAACGTCATCAACTAGTATAGTAGGTCACGACCCACGAGTAATTACATGCTAGATTGATAAAGTAAAAGAAGTTGTTATTAATAGCAATAATAATAATACAATAAGTATATGAATATATATTCTGTTTGCCACAATCAGTTATCGGCTCCATGCTATAAAAATCTTTTCAAGTTTGAACTCATCCAAGATCAAGTAACCAGCGAAACGACTGGAAAAGTCGGAAAAGCAAAAGGTATTTGCTTCAAATTATAAAATTTCTATTATTCAATTAATATTTGCGACGACCTAATACTATGAATATGCGCTTGGTGCAAAAAATACCTTTGTTACTATCATTTGATTGCAGACTTATACTGCATGTTTAGTGTATGCATTGAAATATTATGTGTTTACATTGATTGTTTCTACGGCATTCAATGTTCATTATATGCAAAAGTATTGGATTAACACTTGGTAATATCTTATAGTGACAGATAATGAGGCGTCAGTTATATCACTATCTTTTTCTTTTTTGGAGGTAAGTAAAGTTAGCACCAGATTCACGTATTTCCTGTCCCGATTTGCTTCCTTACCTGTGTTACCTTTCTAGATACTTGTGTTGGGTGCAGAATTTAATTCTTTAAATTTGGCAAGTCAATATTATTTGTAAATTTGAGAACAATTATCTTTTTTTAATTATGCCTTATTTATTTTCCCCACGACCCTGTCGGTCCTAAAGGGACAATTGAGCAAAACAATTATCTTTTGATAAATGTATATAGGGTGTCCAGTAAGTAACTCCACAAAGAAAAAGTTGAATATCTTCATTACAACTCGACCAAACGGGCTCATTTTTTTACCAAGGATAGAGGCAAGTTCACATTTCAAATACATACGGACAAGGTTAGTGGGAACCTTTGCAAAGTATCACTATTGATCTCAACAAGAAAATTTTACTTTTTCACAGATAGGGAAAAAACAATATAAAGGANCATATTTGTTGGCTCACAACTCGCTAGCTTTCTGTTAGAAAGTGATTAATCAGTTGGAAATGTTATCTTGTTAGATCGATTTTGTGTCCAATTAATTCGTTCTTTATTTGAAGGTATTAGAATAGAAGATTCAATAGTAAAATATTAAGTGTGAATATTGACCAAAATCAAACAAAGTAATAATTCTAGTGGACATCATGAGCATCATAGACTCTATTCATAGACAAACTATCAACATAAATATTATAATTTAATTTTGTATTACTCTTCTAGCTACTAACTGCAGTCTTATTAGAATTGAGTTCAAGCTCGACATTACAGTTCAGGTGATACCCTCAAGAGAGTGTCGAAGGGAATGCCATAACTAGTTGAATAATCAAAATTTTTCTAACAAACGAAGATCTTCGAGTGTCATATATTGTTTTGAATCGGATATATATCCGTTAGTAGAGCTTGATGAGACTAGAAAGAGTCCAGAAGGGTTCGTCTCCACATCCTGTTATTTTGCGTTATGATAGTACATTCTAATGACCATGAGAGTTATTCATAGGCGAAATTTCATGTATTCGACTTTTTCTTATATACCTTGCTAGAAGCAAAACAACTTGTTGGCTTCTCCTAGTCTCATCAAACTCTACAAACCGGCATGTATCCGATATCAAATCGCGCGTCATACTTAAAAAACTTCTCTTTTGAGAATTTTAGAAAATCGATGTCGTTTTATTACATAGAACTTAAATCGATTCAGAACAGGATTAAAATTTAGATCGTTAGATTTTAGCACGTATCTTAAGATTTGTACGACTGATTTTATGTTAATCAAATCAAGTTTTATGCATCATATACCAATTCATTTGATTGTATTCTATATTTTCTTTCTTTTTTAAATAGATTTCTGTGGTATTAGTCGACGGATGCGTGAACCATTTGAGAAAGCAGCTGCTTTCTATCGAGAACGTATTCCTGATGGTAATATTACATTAGATAAATTTCATGTGAGTTTATAATTAAACAATTTTGAATAAATTTTTATTGCGTTTTTTTGTTAAGGTTAAATTTATTGCAGTTGATTGTTTTTATCATGTTGGTCAATGTCGAAAATCTTATAAACTTGATTATTATCCTCATATGTATTTATATATAAAAGGTACACGAGGTTATCAATATTTTGGACCGACTATAACATCAAATCTTATTGAATTTATTGAAAAGATTCGAATGCCTATAATAAGACTTACAAATGTCGATGAATTTTTAGATTTTATTGTTCAACATGAAGTAATAGAAAATGATTTGACATTGAAAAATATTTAATTAGTTTTTCTTTTAGTCCAATGTTTTAGCTCATTTTGATTTTTCTAATACTTTACAAAGACAATATTATTCATTTTATGTTCAAGCAGCTCTTAAACATATTGAATATGGTATATGATTTATTTTATTTAATAACATGTGATCAGAAAGTTTTTAGACAAGATGTTTGTTCACTTTTAATTCTTTAGAAAATATTTTCGACGCGTCAAAATCTATGAGTTAGGACTAGAGATGGTCTCCAACTTATATTTTCTAAAAGGTTATGTGAAAATTATTAAGGAACGATTATCGTAATATTTGTTGTCACATATTCGATAGTAAAACATGTTTCGAGCTTATTGACACCGCTAGTAAAAGATATCGTATTTTTCTCTAGTACATGTATAACTAAGCGCAAAATTAGAACCGAAATCAAAAACGATTGGTCACAATCATTACTAGTTAAAATTAGAATTTTGTGCTCGCTTAGAAGATTTGCTTCCACATATTTTTGTTTACCCTATGATTTACTTTTCGAATAGGTTGAAAATTGTCGGAATTAGTCGTTCTATATAGCGAACATTTCTCTACAAAATGTAATATTGAACTAATAAGTTTCAAAGATTTTTTTTTGCTTATGGCGAATTTTTTTTCAAGAGGCTCCAGATTTTCGGAAATCTCGTATTTTTAACTTCGGGTCTGTCTTTTCCCGTATAGAGAGTTCAATTAGGCTAGTGTCCATAAAAGAATTTACAAGTTTTGAACAATATTTCTGCAAGATATAAAACTTTCAAGATATAATCCCATTTCTATGGATAGTGTATACAAGATGTATTTTATTAAAGCTTCATATCTTGAAGAAACTTTGTTCAAAAGTTCTGAAATTTTTTTTTTCGAAGTTACTCTAGTTGAGTTCTCTATATGCGCAAAGTTTCAGATCCAAATTCGAAAATAGGAGCTTTCCGAAAACCTAGAGTCTCTAGAAGAAATCTCAATGGCTTAGTCAAACCCAAATTATTGTAGGGTTTTTATTAGAACACTATGTAACATCTATAGGCAAAAAGTCATTGAAATTGAAAGGGGCTTCTCTATTGTTAATTCAATATCACATTTAATAAAAACCTGTTGGCTCACTATTAAAAATAATTTTTCAGGCCTTTTAAAAACTCGCTGACAACTCTTGAACAAAAATAGACTCAACATTTATTCAAAAAAAACACAAAATTCTGATCCTCATTTATAGCTTTTGAATACTTGCTAGTGGGTCGAAAGTAAACAAACATCTTGTCTAAGAACTTTTCGATCATCTATGATGAAGGCTTCTTTTAATATCTATAATAATAGATAATGAACATCCAATTCGTTTTGCTGTTATTCTTAATCAAACCGTTATTGAAGAATTATCAAATTTATCTAATAATACTTTTCCAAAACCATTTGTTATTTTAAATCGATTAAATTCACCACCACAGGTTAGAAAAAACTAAAATTTTCTTTTTCCTCTTTGATTTTAATCTTTATGCAAAAATAAATAATAAAAGATATTTCCAAATCTAACAAATAATTTTACAATCGAAAATCTTTTTCAATGGATTGTTAATGAACATGTAAGTTTAGAATATAATTTCTTATAGAGAAATTTTAAATATTTATCATTAATAGAAAGAACCATATGTCGGTTGGATTGTTCCAAAAAATCGTTATTATTCTCGAAGTCCATCAATTGATAAAGCAACTGTATTCGATGCATTGACAAACCACGATAATCTTCTTATTTTTCTTACTTCAAACAAATTAGACGAGCTAAAAGTAAGAAAATTGATGTAGAAAAAAAAAAACAAAAGCGCAGAATAGAGAGCAGTATGCATGCATTAAGTCACTGGTGCAGTCTTCCGTTCGATTCCAGTCGATGATCTCTCATTTCGATCATGATTCCTCAGATTAAAACAAAATGATAAACCGTTACTTATTTATTCATTTATAGAATTCGTTCTCGAATAATCATTGATTGAGTAGAATTCGTATAGACATTCGAGCTTAAATCAAATGACGTGTCAGTGATCATTATTAAGATACACATACTGAATACGAAAAACAACCAATAGGCGGCATGTAATTCACAAACTGCACATCATAATGTAACAAACAGCTGGATGTTTTTCATTATTTATATAACATGCCTGTATATTATAAATGCTGATAACTTTTGTATTTTTCTTGCTATTCTCTTCTATATTAAATATAGTTATCAATCATTGTAAATGATAATGTTAGAACCGAACTGAGAAATGATCGAATACGACCGAATTAATAATATTATGCGCATTAATTTTATTAAAGATAGTTATCAATCTGAAATTAATTTGACTTGTACTCTGTAGAATTGTTATTATGAATTCACACGAGAGAACACGTCATTTACAAAATGTTATTAATTTGACAATAATTTTCAATGGCGGTACAATAAAGCAAAACATTTGCTTAGATAGATCAAATGAATAAAAGTCCATCGATGTGTATAAAGTGTTCATCCTATTATTTTTATGCATGTTTTATTGCAAATAATATTATGAAAACATTATATAATTTCCAAAAATCGTCGCAAGACTAAATTTTTGTTTCTTTTTGAGTTTAGGAACAAAACACAAGTGATCTCGCTCATATCTCATAAAACCCGATTACTATTTTTTTTTGCATATATATAGATATATAATGATTTTCCTTATTATTATTTTTTAGTTGCGATATATTTCTTTCTATCTTTCCAATTGTAACATAACTCATTCTTCTCTTTGGCTCAGACAAATTGAAATATTATATAATCAATCATTAATCAATCTAAACGAGAATATAAGTAAAACACAGCATAATCTTCTTTCATCATGTTGTCAATATATCTTAAATCAAATATCTCCAGCTGATATATATCATCTATGTTTATTTAATCAACAGTTACCATTATTGAATTTTTCTGAAACAAAAACAAAAACATGTTTACCTATATTAAACAATATTCAATTACAAAAAATTTGTTATCGAGATTATTGTCATCAATGGTTAAAAACATATGCATCAATATATCAACAAAAATTACATTCTAATCATGAGACTATTTTACAAAAGCGACGAGATAAATTTTATGATCAATCTATTGAAATACAAGATCAATTTATTATTGATAGTAATAATTCAATGGAAAATTTTAAAGGATTATTATGTCAAATTAATTCAACATGGGCATTTCGATTGATTGATTCAAAATATTATCCAAATTTTGGACGAAATATTGGTATTATTAATAATTCAAGAGCTATTATTGTATTACAAACGAAAGTAAGATATAATTATAAAAGGAATTTTTTTTCTAGAAGTTACTTAAAAAAGATATTATGAAAGCATAAGTTGATGGAAAAAAGATTATCAACAACGTATTTTTTATTTTTATTCTTTAATGCTAAACATCCAGCTCACGTTCAAATAGTAGTTTTAATAGCCAATAGAGTTTTCTGTTTAATGTTAATATACTAGACGAACTATGATGGTAAGGTTTCTTAAAAACCGGACATGTACGGACTTTTCTTAAACAGCTATAAGCACCATAAAAACTGATTAAAAAATACCTTTTTTCGGTTCTTGAGATGCTTTTAATTTTTTAAGGGAAGGTCGTATGTGTCCGGCTTTTTTTAGAAATCTTTCTGTCATAGTTTATCTAGTGTAGAATGCAGTACATAGAAAAATCCCTAGGTTATTTAAATCACGAACTGAACTTGAGCTAGGTGCTGAACATTATAGAAAAAATGAAAAAAATAAGTTGTTAAACTTTTTTTCAAATTAAGGTTACGACCGAAAAATAATGAGATTATTAAATAATAATTAAGTACTTCACTCTAATAATAATACAAAGAAGAATTAAATATTCATAAAATGAACTCTATCAGCATCAAATTTTGTGATTTATAAGACATGTTTATTCATCAAAAATTTCATTGGCATCAGAAAAAACATAGTTTTGCTTTTGGCATTTTCTATATTGAGAAAATCTTGAATTTATTTGAAATCAAATGTGATTCTTGAATTATCTGCGAACAAATACTTTAAAATAGATATACACGATTTCATGAAAAGTTTGTCGTATTTTCAAAACGCAACAAAAACTACTTGAACACTAAAATCTTTAAATTTAAAAATGATTCTTCAGATTCTTTTTTCTTTAAATTCAAAATATTATGTGTCAACAGTTGAATAAAACACTATCTTATTTGTAAAATTTCACATTGATCGACGTCATCATGACATGAAGTTGAAAAACAACAGTAAATAATAAATGTCAAAATATGATACAGTAGTGCCACAAGTTAATAACTTTAGCATTAAGATGGTTGTTGATAAAGCTGAAAAAAAGATGCAAAAAATTTTCCTATCAATGCGCTTACCTCTCATTCTTCGGTTTTACACTTTAATCTGGATAATATATTCTCAAAATATCATTGCCAATGAATTCATTTTCAACTTTTTTAATTAATATAGACTAAGTTCGGCACGACATAGATACATTTATTAATGACATCCTGACTGTCTAACAAATTACAGTAAGAAAGCGAGAGATAAGCATAGTATTGGGCCAGTCGTTGGAAGTAGCTGCTTATCGTAGATTGATCGTTATACTTATCAGAAGAAGTTCTATACTCTTGACATTGAAAAATATGAATATATTGAGAAAGATATTTCTTAGGAATTCGTTTAAATTAAGTCGAATGTGAGTGATTGTTTCTTGTTAGGACACAGCATGATTCAGAGTTTTCATAGATAAATTAAAAGTACATATTTTTTTCTTTAATAGTAAGTATTAAAAAAATTAATTTTTAATAACGAGATATTATAATGTAAATGCCTTTCCGGAGTAGGAGACTCCGGAGTTTCCATTAAATCCAAGGATAGAAACTTTTTTTTTTCGCAGTAGGGATCTTGTATTATATCGCATTTATTGACATCATTTGCATATAGACGAGATTTTTAGTATTTTAAAAGTCTAGAAATAACGTTGGCCTTTGTTTTTTTCTGAGATTTTTTAGCTCAAAACCGTGAAAGTTATGTATAGTTCGATGCAAATATACTAATTATACCTAGGGCAATCCAAAAGTAGTGGTAGTAGTACTTTTATTCCTTATAAGAAGCTTTAAGAGACTTTCTTTGTATATAGTCTGATAGAGAAAAGAATGCTCTATTTTTCTATGCTATTTGATCATACTTCAACTAATATAATAATAATAAAGTTTCGATAAGATTTGTTTTGTTCGCATGTGTGGTGGTTACATGACTTGCTAGTGAGTGTTTTTTGAATAACTTTTGATGAATACATCATAGAAAAGTGCGGTTTTCACCGTTGGAAAGAGGAGATGAAGATGCATCGAATCGTATGTTATAGATTTTTCTAATATTGACTTCTGAGGTATTTTGATTCAATTTTCTNCACTTTGTTCTCTCTCAAGGGTACCCTCCTCACCCTCACTTTGTTGTCCCCCAAGGGTACCTTCCTCATCCTCAAGATGCTTCTCTACCTCTATATAATGAATTTGTCGCAAATTCAAATTCCCCATCATATGAGTTTGTCTTATCGAGCTTCGAATAAATGAAAAAGAAAAGATTTAAAACTTTATGTTCTTGTTCAAATAAAAAAATGAAAGCATTTTTAGCTTATGAATTTTTTGTGATAGAATAATAACTGTCTTCTCTCACAATTTAATACTTCAAAAATTTAACAAATTGATTCTTTTCTTTTTTAAATTACTTTTGCATATCATTTTTCGATGTAGACGCTGACGAAGCCATTGATGCATACATTTAAAACTACGTAGGTGTTTCCTAGTCTGAAAGGATAGAAATATGCTTATAAACGCATCTAGGTATACAAGTGAAAAATGCATGTTAACACTTAGATGCTCCTATATACATATTTCTATTCCATTAGTTTACGACTAAATGAATTGAATCTTGATGAACGTGATTTTGTTTGCTTGATACAAGCAAAAATAAGAATTAAATTTTAAATAAAACAAAATTACTTTGTACTTTTTGTGTCTAATAAAGAACAAAATTCTGTGTAAGTTTAATTTTGCCTAAGGCACATAAACGTCTATTTGATTTTTGCTTATTCCGGTTTGGATTAGACAAAAGAAAATCTTTGTATCAATTGTCAGGAAATAAAATATTTTTATTAAATTTCTTATCAAATGGTATACATTACAGCTTGATTCTATTTTATAAATGTCTTCTAAAGCTACTCACAATTTTATTTCTGTTCGATTGGCCCTAAACATAAGAAAATGTAATTTTATGAATGCAATATTTACGTGTAAATTGAAGTGGCTGACTATATGACTCATATTTTCTATCGTAAAACATCACGGAGGCAACTTATCATGACAAGCCGACGAGGATAGAAGCAGAAAACCAAGTTATAAAAGACAGAAAAAAAGAAAGAAAGGCAAGCAAGCAGGAGCGGTTGTTTTTATGACGTAGGTTTGGTTGACAATACGACAAGGCAGAACGCCACACTTCCGACCATTAGTTGTTTTTCTCTTTCTTTTACAATGTCAGCATGAAACAGAATGCATTTAAATATTTGATTGTGCGATGTATTAATTATGAATTTTAAAGTCTAAGAATATTACAAATAAATGAAAATATCGACTAAGAAAATGTAACAATCCAAGTAAATGTAATTATATGACAGATTCTACAATGAATATTTTAATTTCTTCTCACGATACAATAAAATCAAATGAAAATAAAGAAAAAAAAAAGAATAACGCTTTCGAATATATGAACACGTCTCATGGAGTTTGCCTTTTTTTTAAAAACAGTTTTTTTTTAGGTTAAGTTGTCACATTCTTTAAGCACAAAAAATCGTTTAAAAAAATATGAGTGTACTGCTTGAATTTTCCAGCACTGAATGAAGTCTCAGTTAGTCAAACACTATATAGCTTGAGATAATATTTCTGTGAGAATTATTGTCATCGTTTATTTAAGTTATACTTGGCTTTCTAGAGAAGAATGCGTTTTAAACCATTATTATCAAAATATTTAACTCACGATGAAACGTCTTTAGATACTGTCTGCCAACTTCGATAGTTCTTTTTTGCCTACAAATACTATAAAAAATCATAAAAGAATTTTGGTTTCTATTCAGATTTGAATTTTTGTTCGAGAGGTTCCAGCTTTTCACAAAACTGGTATTTTCAAATTTTGATCTGAAATTTTGCTCATATATGGAAATTCTTTTACGGTTTTCATAGTATCTATAGGTAAAAAAGAAAAATCATCGAAATTGGAAAAGGGCATCTGAAGAAGTTCCATCGTCGGCTGGTTTATGTAAGAAGAATCTGGTAAAGGAAGATTAACTAAATATTATTTGATACATTGACATTTTTGTTGAGAATAATTTAAATCAATAATTATCAAATAAAATAGAAAGAATTTTCTTTAAATCACATTTGATGTTTTTCGGATGTATCTCTGCTTAAAATGAAAAATATTGAAATTTTGTAATACATAGAGATAAAGTCTTTTTTTTCTTGAAAAAGAAGGATTGTTATCAATATTTTATTAAAATCACAGTCAATGTGTCATTTCTATTTATTATATTTAACACTCAAATGCTCTGTGATATATCACAATCAACAGTTATTGATTCGCTGATGAAGTTAAGTCATACGTTTGAATAATTGGCAGTCCACAACAGGCGTACTGGTCATGAAGCACTCTATCAAAAAAACACATATTCTGTTTTTTTGTTGCACCTTACACGTTCTAACATCTATTTTTTAATAAAAGATTTTTAAATGAAACTTTTGTTTTACAGCGAATAATCAGTTAGAGAACTTCGCTCGTAAGTTTCCAATGACTTTCTTATAAGCAAAAACTTAAGTATAAGAAAATCAAAATTTTATTTAATCAACAAATCTTCAATAAAAACTAATAGCGTTTCTTTAATTGTATCATAAAAGACAATTCTCTTTATTTTCTATTTTAGAATTGATGTAGATTTTCTATGCAAGTGTTTTTTGAAGTTAAGATGTCCATCGCTTTCCCCAATCAAAATTTTAGATTTTTCATACTGGTTGTTGTTTTCCTTTATTATACATGCTTCGAAGTTGTCCTCTGTTTATACTGAACATGTTTCAAGAATTAATATTTAACATGAAAGCCGAAAAATGGAAAAAAATGGAATATTTTCGCTCAAAAAAAAAGCGTAAAAATTAAAATATTATTTTGCTATTCTTAGAAAAACGATTTGTTTTTTTTTGACAAAAAAGAGTTCAATTAATAAGATGCTCTGAGAAGCTTGGCATTATTATTCGAACGGAAAGAGACAAAAGGGAGCCAAAAGAAAACAAGAGTATCCAAACAGTGTCAAATATCTACCAAAAAAATTCATAGCTATATCACATGAGTTGTCACTGAGAAAGAGGAATGGTTTTTTCTCACTTGAAACACCAATATCTCATACAAGAAAGCATCCAATAATGTTGAGCCCATTACAACTTTTGCAGTGTTCATCAAGACCTATTTGCTGTTCAGCTTTCACAATTTACTAATGAGTAATTCTCCAAGAGTACTGGAAACGAGGAGCGCGGGTCCTAAAAATACCGGAATCAATTTTTTGTCTGTTTTGAAATCAATACAACATTCGTCACTTTTGATAGTTCTTATAAATGCAATGAATACATACACGATGTTTTTTTGAAATAGATCATGTGGTTCATTATAAACGATTCTTGTCATCATAGTCTTATTGTAAATACAGTAATCACAATCATATGATATGCAGTCAATATGGAATATCTTTTCTATGATCATGAACTAAACATTACAAGCTTTATAAGATTACAGATTGGTGAGGAAACAATTAACTGTTCCTTCTTTTTATGAATAAAAAACAATGATTTTTATCATTATTTATCGATGAAGACTACGTAAGTATGTACACCATTGAACAAGTCTTGAAATAAGATTGTACCTAAAATAAAAACAAAACAACAATCATACATAATCTTGAATAATACGAGAAAAGATAGAATCAGAAAAATAAACTTGTATGCCTACCTTTTTATTACTCATTATATGATTCTAAGGGTTACTCATCTTTATTATTCTCATGCATCATTAACTTCACCTTTTAAACGAGTTGATTCATGAGCAAAAACAAACCAATAGATATATAAACAGTTGATTTTATTTGAATTATCATTACATTATTATTTGCTTAATACAAAATGTAAGTACAAGATAAAAAAAATGTAGATTGTAAATCATATATATATTTATGTATAGGAATCCATTTGGTGGAAACACATTTGATCAAGGTATGATGCGTCAATATTCAGGTCCTTTACATCAACCAGGTTATGGACAATTTGGTAATGCTGGAGGATACTTTAACGCTAGTGGTCCATTTCCAGCAGGCAGTGTTATGCCTGGTATTGCATATCCTCCTGCAGGCTTCACTTCACCACCAGTAATTAATCCATTCGGTTCAGGTTTTAATGGTCCTATGATGCCCAATGGTGGTTTTGTCAATCCACAAGTTCCATTTCCTTATGGACAACAACCTCCATTTGTTGACCCAAATCATTTTGGAAGTGGTGCATATAATCGATCTCGTTCACGTCATTCATCTCGCCATCGATCTAAGTCACGTGGTCGTCGTGGTAGTAGATCACCATCAACTAGTGACAATGAACGTCATCATCATGGCCGAGGTTCACCATTTGCTGGCCCAGGAATGCCATATGTGAATCTTGAACCATATCCTAATGTGCCACCATTATCACCGCGTGCTGGTTCACCTGTTATTCCTCCACGAAGACCTGGCTGGTAATTTTCTTTATTATTTTTTTTTTCTTATACTACATTTATAATCGTAAAGCTTTTAATAAATAATTGTATTCTTAATATTTAAATAACGGAAATAATATAAAAATAAATAATCGTTAAAATGTTCATTGGTCTTATATTTTTCGATGAAAAGAATATGTTTAATTGTATGAGTATTCGAATAATAGTAAATACAAATTTTATCGATATCAAAAATAGACTTTTCTAGATTTCCCTATCATAAACAAATTGTTATCATCGAACTTCTATAAACACTTATCGAAAAATTTATTTTTAGTAGACATCTATGTCGAATGATATTCTGCAATACTCTTCAATACAGTAAGAAATTTAATTACAAAGTAAACGCTTTGCAATAGATATGACAAGGATTAAAAATCTGCAAATAGGTTCAATAGTTAGGTGAGATTTATGCCAAACTCAACGTTACATAGCTAATTTTTTTCCTCATCGAAGTCTCTATCTAAGAACATTTCAGAAAGAAAATCTGAAGGTAAATATAAAAGCAAGTCTATGAGGCTTTATAGATTTTTCTCAAAGTCCTGCTTTTCTCCGATTCTTACGTTCTTATTGCATCCTCAATTTTTTATGGAAAGTAATTACGTTATAAATGAGTCCATTTTGTGTTCTCGCCGTTCTTGCCTCCTCCTCCCTCTAACAATGAACAGTGTGGCAACAAAATCTTTGTTGTTTGAATTTAATATTTCTCAAGGCTATGATGTGTAGAAGTTTCAGTATTAAATCATCCGACCGTACATTACGAGTTTCAAATTAGTAAAACACTTTTTATTGGAAAAAAATTTTCTCAAAACAATTTAGGAAAAACTCAAATTTTTCCACTTTTACCTTCTGTTCGCTGACTATTGTGTTCTTATCTGGATATTCATGTAAAACACTGTCTGAACTTTAAACAATTCTTCTTCTTTTGAAAACATTATAAGCATTACGATCAGCTGGAAAGATAGAGGTGCTGTTCTTCAGATTTTTTTGAACTATGTATTATTAGCAGCTAAGTGATCTCTTCTTTAATTGTGAAATAATAGATAAATTTGGTTTTCTCGTAAGACATTTAGATTAGAAGTTTCAAAAAGCTAAATTTTAAATTTCGTTAAGAAGAAAAAAGAAGCAAATAACGAATTCACAATGCTTTTCATGAAAGTAGTCACGGCTTATTTAGTGAGTCCTCAAGAGATGAGAGACGATTTACAGTTATATTATATTTCTCATTGATTGGCTTTCATTCAACATCATCCCGATCATTTTTAGATAGATTATTCAATTCTAGAATTATTTTAAAATCTAGTTTAACAGAAAACCAAGGGATGACTCTACATCTGATATTCAGAAAAAAATGTAATCAAAATGGCGATGAAAGATTCAATCAGCCTCATATTGGAAAAACATGCGCTGTTGACTACAAACTTGTCAATCTCTGAAGTTCAATTGACAACAGAACAAATTGGTTAAACGACGCTTGTTATCAATAAATGGTATTCAAAATTGGTTTTTCGAATATTTGCATTTAAGCGTGTATCCGTATAATAATTTTATGTCATAATATAATTTCTTAGGAAAAAATTACTTCAAAGCAGCGCAAGAAGAATCTCTCTGTTAATATTCAATAATGTAAGTTTAACTTTATTAAATCTATAAGAACACTTCGAATATAGCAGAATAAAAAAATCAATGAGACCACTGTTATTTGTTTTTTTCATGTCCGCATTATTATATAAAGATAGGAAGGAGCACATTTACAAGTTTGTAATTATAATAAAACCAATGTCTATGTCTTGGACGGATAAGATTTAGTGAAGTTTTGCTTTTTCTTTCTTCTAATAAGATATTGACATTGACCGTTGGCGTAAAAGAAAAACGCATAGAGGTAGAAGAAAAATATTTTTTGAAATACAAACAAAATTAAGAAATTTTATAAATACATCTCGTATTGGTTGAATTATATTCAATGATGTTGTTGGAGGTGTAATAATAATTTCTGGTATATATATACAATTTGGACAATAATACTGATCATTTTCTGAATGTGTTTTATATTTAATTGGTTGTGATGATTGTAATGATTGATAGCCAGATGAAAATAAAAGTTTTGAATCAGTATGAGTTGTATCTTCATCAAGACTTTCTGGTAGTGATGTACGAATTGTTTTACGACAAGAATTGAAATCCGAAAATGTATCGAAATCTTCATTATCTGTGTCATCAATAGAAAAAGGATAATTAGGATTAGTTGTAATTTGATTTTGTGATGTTTGTTTCGGATGATGGTAACATGAATTAAAAAGTGCATAAAGTTGTTGCAGACGAGGATCTGTGTTATCTATACTTGATCGTTTTGAACTTCTTAAACGAAAGAAAATTGAATTTCAAATAGAAGATAAATTATAATTGTATTACCGTCTGGATATATCAGATGTTCTACTTGATTGTAAAAGTGTACTAAACTCTTCTTCCTCTTTATTAAATGTATTAGTGAAGAAACAAGGTGATGATATTGATGTTCTTTTTGATGACATTGAATGAGTAAATGGTGTTAACAAACGTTTCTCTTGATGGAAATTTGATGTTAACGAATCTCGTCGTGTCATCGAATTTCTTCTGGAATTTGTTATAATTTCTTTAACACAATTTGCCAAAACTGTTGGTTCAGCTCCACTTCGTAATTGTCCATCTTCAGTAAATAATTGTTGATACATCATTTCAATAAACATTAATGGATCTTCAACATCCGGCACATCAAATGAGAGTGGTTCTCGATTTAAAGTATGATTCGTTGTTGAATGAATTGGTATCGTTGTGACACTAGATCGTCGATTATTATGATTTGTTGAAGAAAATTTTTCATTGGTTGATGGACATGTTCGTACTGTTTTTGATTCTGTTGATTTTTGTTGACGAGAATGAACAAATACCGGTTTATAATTAACAACAATAAGATGTTTATTATTTCGCGATTTTTTTTTATTTACATTTAAATGTTTTTCTATAGTTGCAGTTAAATGTTCGATAGTATGTGATTTAGTTGGAATAGGCTTATGTAAAATACCATGTGATAAATGTTTTCGTTGAACAAATATTCGAATACTCTCTTTTTTCTTTGAATTAAAATTTGAAGCAATATGACCTTTACTTTTACGATGTTGTTCATCCGTCATAGTTAATAAAATTGTAACTGTAATACAGAAAAGAGCAAACGAATTTATTCAATTTCTGGCAGAAAAATAAAAAAAAAGAATGTGTACCTTCTACTTATTTTTTGTTTTTGTCAATCGTCTGCTAATATTTATTTTGAAAATAAATTTTTCTTTTTTTGCATTGTTCTCTTATGTTTATTGACATGAAAAATTAAGGCCAGTTGAAAGCCAAAGAAAAAGAAAATTCAAAGCAGTAAGTAGTTCTTCGAGGCGTTTGTTGATTGTGAATAGTTTGTTTCGTTCTTTCTGTTTCCTTTTTTTTTCTTCTCTTCTCTCCTTTTAACTTTGTTTGTTTTTTTACATTACGACTGAATACGTTCAATGTTGCCACAGGATGAATAGCATGGGTACTTCTAATTGTAAGCATGTCTTATTGAAAATTTCTATAATTCTTCTTGCACTGTTGTGTTCACTCACTGGAAATAATTAAACTATTGAAAATCTCATTAACAATTTTTTATTATTAATTTTGTTTTGCTTGAGAAAAAACAAATCATATGACACATTCTTTCATTTTGCTGTTAACCTCAACAGTAAAACTTGGTGGTGTTTTTTCTCTTTTTCACTTTAATTGTAAAATTCTTTGTTAAATAAACAAATATTGCAAAAGAACTGCTTCAATTTCGAAAGACATTGGTTAATAATATTTTGACAAAAACATTTCATTTTCAGAATAAATATATTTAAAAGGCTACTTAATAATATTGACCTTAAGTCAACTAGATACGATTTCATGATACCATTTATTGCAATGGATAAATTGCAAGGGTCTTTTTATAATGAAAAAAAAAAACTTTTTTTTTTTAAACTAGTAGGTGTGAATGTACGTGCATGTCAAGTAAAAGGAATGTTTAAACTAACAATAAAAGATCAAAGAGCACAAAATATGACATTAGAGATTTTGATCGAACTGGTTCAAAAAAACTTGCACACAAAATTGATAAGTATTTATTCATTTGCTTTCTTCTTTTTGTCTGCCTAAAGAGATCTTAATAGTTAGATTAAAAAAAAAAGAAACTATAATACAATATTTTTGTGTTAGTATTTTCTTATTTAAACGGAAGGTTCTAATTTTTGTTTTGATGAATACATGAAAATCATGAAAAGAAAAAATAATTTAAGCCCTGAATAAAGTTATTGGTTTAAAGTAATTTTAGTTTACTATTTGGTCATTAATTGATGTTTTTTCTTTGATATATTGATGGTTCTTTTTTCGATGATAATGATTGAAATTCAATAGTACGATTAATAATAACTTTTGAAAATAATAATGGATTTGTTTGATCTTGGTTTTCTCGTAGAAGTAATGTAAGCTTAACTTCAGTATCTATTCGTGCTATATCTTCAACACTACTAGCAGATGACATTGTTTGAATTAAATTATCTTTTGTATCGATTGATTTTTCTGATATTGATTTAGTTAACAATTGACAATGATTATTAGTAGACATTATTTGTTCTGGCATATTTGTAAACGAATATGGTAAGAATATAGTTAAACGAGAACGATCAAGTGTTGATTGAGATTTTCGTAGACTAGGACTAGAAGTTATTGATTTTAGAGGTGAAGATGTAGTCGAATCTTGTAGATTATTTCTATTGACTGTATCTATTGATCGTTGATCAAAATCAAATGAACAATGATTGTTAGAATTTGATGAAGATGTATTATTATTAACATTCGTTGAGATTAGTGTATCAAAAGGTGCTGAATGGGGAGGACTAATATTGTGTTGTACATCATGAATTAATAAATGATTTTTTTGTTGGTTTATTGTTGTTGTTGAATCAACTTTATTTGGACTGGTTAATTTATTTTTAATATATTCAAGTTCTTCTATTCGATTTTGCATTTGTCTTTCTTGCCAATCAATCCAAAATCTAGATAAAACATATTAACATTTTACAAAAACGAATTAGTTTTATTATCTAACCGTTCAGGAATTTCATGAGCACGTTCAAGAATTTTTGAAGATAAACCAAATGGTTGTGTTGGTACAGATGAATTCGGTGAAACCAAATTAAGTGGAAAATTTAATGAATATGGATAATTTGAAATACCAAGTCCACTAACATTTGAACATGGTGTTACAGCTGAGAATGGTGAATAAGATGGTGGTATTTGATAATAATGTACATCAGGTACAATTTCTTTTTCAAGTTCTCGAACACGTTCAGCTAATTGATTATAATAATGCTTTGGACAATATATATTAGCATTTTTCCACACTGTTGATGCATCAGCTAAAGCATTTCGACGTTCTCGTGTACATTCACATTGATGTGACATATTTTGTTTATCGACTTCTTCAAATTTATTCGTTTTACTATTACTATTTATTTCTGATAATTTTTTCATTGATTGTTTTCATTGATAGTTAATATTATTTTTCTATGATAATAAAGAATGAGACTTATAATTACAAATTGTATTTCTTTATAAAATTGTGAACTCAAATCCAGCGAGATTAAAATATGAAATACAATGTAGCTTCTCTTGATAACCACAGATAGATTGTATTATCCCATCTATTTTTGGACTCATTTCTTCATTATTCTTTTACTTAAATCTTCGAGAAATACAATAAGAAAGAGATTCATATATCATAAAAAGCCGTTACTGACGTATGATCTACGATCGCATATCAATGTCTATCAAACTCAGTGAATGATCTCTGACTAGCGTTCTCCACGGTCTGTAATAGTCTCTGATCAGCAGTTATCATGATCTATAATGATGTCTTATTCTATCATCTATCATAGTGTTTGTAGGACGGAAAGTTCAAAGTTTTACGACTATACTCAGAGGTCGCGAAGCAGGTGGTGCACATCCCAATTGAACATTGTTTGTTAGTACCCGATAAAACTATTAAGAATTCGTATTATCTCTATAAAACATTTTCTTATGCTCTTGCCTAGTCTTGAGACTCTCGCGCGGCTTCTGCCTATACTTCAAAACTTCTGATAGATTGTGTTTGTCAAACTAAGTATTATTTTTCTTTAATAAAGAAAAAAGGAAAACATTAGATATAAAAACAAGCGTCCTATTAATAACGATGCATTTTTTCATGCTATGAATATTTTATTGATGTATCATTACTCAGCCTGTCTTTGGAGACTGCTTCAGGTAATTCGAAGTCATTGGATAATGTCATTGCAAAAGTTTGACTTATTTATTCAGTACGATATTTATTAGAACAAAAATCAGTCGAAAAAAAAAATTTTATCATAATATTATTTTAAGACTTCGATGCATTTTTGGAGTTAGTTTTATTTTGAATGATAAATTTCTACAAAATTTTATCTGGAGATTTTACTTGCACTTGAAAAATAAATTTCCTTTGAATTACAACATAGAATTATTATTTATGAAGCGCTCTGAGAAAAAATCATTAGTGATTCTGATAATCTTAGTCTGGCATGTATAACGAATGGTGTATGACAGACTGAAACACTTTTCTTCTGTCGTTTTATAGCATTGTAGTGAGTTTCTAGGAAAATCATCATAAGACAAACGAAAAAAAAAAAGTTAAATCTGTTGATAAATAAAATGTTGTATCTTCATATGCAAATAAAGAAAAGATATTCAAAAATTAGTAATATTCTTTTATAGTAAAATTAGGAAGGGGATGGATTTGTCCGTTTCATGTAAACTTCCAGGTGGAAAAAGTTAGAAAATTGTTTGGCATAGTTTTTCGATAGAATACAATAAAGGAATAATTTTTAATTTCTAGAGTGAACATGCAGCTTATATTAAAACATAATAGTAATAAAAAAATATTTGTTAGAAGATTGTCATTGAATATCACCTTAGAATAGAAAATGAAAATATTATTATTTTCTGTTAAAAATAACTTTCATATACATAAATTTTAAAATCAATAAAGAATCCAATGCATTTTATTGATTCTCGAATACAGATTATGTTCATAGATAATAATGTTAATCCAATAAATTTAAATCAAAGTAAAAAATAGTTCTCTATATTCTTCTATTTTCTAGAAACTTTTTGAAACTTTAAAAAAGTGACAGAATAAAAGTGCATCATTCTTTATGCATTTCTCATTATTTCTAAAAGCGATCGTAGATAATATTTGACTTCAGTAACAATATCTGATCTTTTCTAATTAATATGAAACAGTATTCACATGATAAAATTCAACAAATATTTGATTAAAGCTCTTATAATATGACTGAAGCAATCCAACGTGTAAGTCAATATTCAAACATATTGACGTCGAAATATCTATCGGATGATTATGTAGTAGAATATATATTTTTCGGCAACCATGTAACTTTTATCTAAATAAACAACAGAGTATTACGCACAGAACGGAAAGTGTCTCTTACAAAAACAAACAGTCCTTGATTCAAGGACAAACATCAGACTTCAAGGTCTACATCAGATTTTAAAACTTGATATTTTCTGTCCACCGATAAAATCGATATTATACATTAATAATGTTTTTTTCTTCATTATCCTACCTTACTTTTCGATAATGTTAGTCCATCATGAGTAGAAAGTTTAATAGATTTTAAAAGTGATATCAAATATATATATCTAAACTAAAGAACTGACTGATATGTTTGTTATTTTAGTTTGCCTGTTTTTCTTCTTTGGGCACCAGCTGTTCTTTGTGCATTCAATGAATCATGACAATATTATTTATTACTTCAATTCAAAGATTTTATTTCGTCTTCAACAAAAAAAACAAAAGGTTAAATAATTTTTCTTTTTTTTTTCACTGTACATTTTCTAATCTTTTTATTTGCTGTTCTGTAAATGTAGGATATATTGTTGATATTTCATCCCAAGTTACTTTTTCCATTGAAAGATTTTGAAGAACACATGCTATTTCATCAATCTACATATAGAAATATTTGTACAAGAAGAAAAAATTTCTAATTTAATTCAAATATTTACTTTAACACGAATTTGTTTTAATGAATTCAATTCACGTAATACTATTGAATGTGGTTGACTTGAAGTATCAAAATCAATTGTAATTGCAAATGGAATAGCTAATTCATCACAACGTGCATAGCGTTTACCAATATTTCTATTACTTGTATCGATTCTATACGAAATACCAGTTTGAGTTAAAAGATCAGCTAAATATATGCAAAAAATAATGATAATAATTCAAGGAAATATAAATATAAATAAATGTACATATTTGTTTCACAAATGGTTTAAATTCTGCATTACCACTTAATGGTAAAACAACACATTTATATGGTGCAATTAAAGGTGGCAATGTAAAATACTAGAAAAAAGAATTTATTATTGAACATTCATTAGAGTGATGGAAAAAGTCTAACAACAACGTATTTTTGGCTTTATTTTAATAAAATTAAGCAATTAGATCAAGTATAGATAGAGATTTTAATCACCAATTGAGTTTTCTATCTAATGTATTCTATATTAGATGCAATATGATGGCAATGTTTCTGAAAATCCGGACGTCTACGACCTTTCCTTAAAAAATTAAAGCATCACAAAAATCTAAATATATAAAAAGATCGACCTTTTTTAGGAGGTTTTTGTGGTATAAAAAATCTCTATTGGCTTTCGAGCTTCTCCGCATGAAAGTCTATCTAGTCCTGATTGATGCTTGCAATAAGCGTTCATTATGCTCTTTTTGTGACCAAATGTGAGACTTAAGGATGATTACTGTATCTCTGCACACAGAAGTTATAAAATCTTGAACTTTTCTCCATGAGATGCACCGTCAAAATCTCAACACATCACTAAGAATCTTACTTAAAAATACAAGAAGTTTCTTTCTTATTTACTCATTTTCAAGAAAAAGTAACAATCTAAAAATCTCATTCATGACCAAAACTAGTATATTTTTGTAGTATTTTTAGAAATCAGACTGGTTTGTCTATTTGAAGCCTAAACTACAAATGCTACTTAATGATTCAACTGGGATACGAATTTGAATATTGTTAAAAAAGTATATTCTCACTGTAGCAGCTCAAACACATTATTTCCATTCAAAAAAAGTAAATTATGATTAAATGCTTACACATTATATTAAAAGAGCTATTCATAATCAATCAAAATATCATAAACGCAGCCATCTAGATGCCTGATTACATCATGGTAAAAATATGGTAAAAATTATATACATTTCATTCAATTACATTATGTGACCTTAAAAGAACATTGCTTTGTATTGTTTTAAAATAAGATTAACAGAAGTTTGTAGAGAATTTCAAGGTGCATCTTTTAAAGTAAACATTTTGGGACACCGGCAATGTATGTATAAAAGATTTTTTACCTTTCGTTGATCATCTTCTGGACGGATTTTAAAGTTATGTTCTAAAATTGTATACATTATCCGACCAAAACCAAATGTTGGTTCAATTACTGATGGAATAAATTCTTCCACTAATAATAAAATAATGCAATAAAATATACAATTCAATAGAAATATTTACCATGAACTGTTTTTTCAACTGTTTCAAATGTAAAAATTGATTTTGTAATAATGAATTCTTTATTTTCAATAGTAATTTTTTCATCACTAAAAAAAAGAAGTAACCGTTTCTATTGAAAAATATTTTCTCATACTGTTGTTGAAGTTTTTCATGTAAAATTTGAGCTTCATTGTCAGATAAATTTTGTAAATATTCAATTATTATTGAAGCATCTTTACGAAATAATTGACCAATCATTTTACGATTTAATCTTTTTTCACCAACTTGAATTTGTTTTGGTGTAGATAATTGTCGTTCAGCAACAAGTCGTTGACTACTATATTTTATATGTTGTGTTAAATCATAACAGGATCGATCAGCACAACCAACACATTCAATCCAACCATAACTTATTTTACATTCAGCATCCCAACAATCACAAGCATAATGAGCCATTTCATTGCTCATATGTTGACGAAAACGAATTCGATTTTTATCTATACCAACTTTAATTAAAAATAAGTAAATTCGACCGATAAAATAAGCAAGAGTTTCATTATTAATTAATTTCAAACGAACAGCATCATCTAAACGAATTAATCGAGCAGATTCACCATTTATTTGATTGACGGCTGAATAAAGTTGAACTTCTAGATCAGCAACAATTTCAAATTTGGAATGAGTCTTATCAATGGGATCGACAAAATGTTCGATTTCTGCCATTGTAAACTCACTAGAAATAAAAACCAACGAATAAATTTCAATAACAGTAATAAAAATATATTGAATCAACACCAAAGATATGCAGAACCAAGTTTTATCAGACGCGCTTCTGAATCGGGACAGATAACTTTTTAACATAAATTCAGACACAAGAGGTCTTATGTAGAGATGTGCAGTTTCAGATTAATCATCACGAACTCAGTGCAGTTA